ACAGTACATGCCAGCAGATACAAAAACCAGGGTTTGGGGGCAGACCTGGTGGGGATTATTGGGTGTTACCCCAACTAGTGTGTGGTACCCACTGTTTTGTATGGTGACTGAGACTCTAGTGGGCTGGCTTGGCTGGGACACAGCACCCTGTCAGTTCATATGAGAGATGGAGCTTAGGGCAGAACTCACCAGACAGTTACATCTACTGGTGGATTCATTGGCTGGTGTAGGTGATGAATCAAACTTGGACATGTACTGGCTGATGCACGCATATAGGAGTCAATTCTGGCAATACTCCAGGTGAGGTTTCTTGGGGGACTCCTAAACTAGATCGCTAGACTCAAACCCCAGCTAAAGAGAAAAATCACAAAATATGTGGTATGACCTTGGAATGCGTGTATTAGTACTGGGCCTCCTCAGTTGCTGATGTCTGTGCAGTGAAGAATATGCCCAGATGCACACAGGGGACAGAACAGTCAGTTCATCTAGACTACCAGAGGACTTTGAGTGGCTCATGAGGGGTTGGAAAGCAGCACCGTTTGCACAACTCTCCTGGCCATGCTTTGCAGCAAGGTGTCTGGATCTGTGGATGCACTAAAGTAGATTCATCATCCAAAAGACTTTGGAAAGCCTTTCCCAACCCTGGTGCAATGAAGGAGACGATGTCTCAAAGCTATCAAAACCATTCAAGTAACACCCTCAAAACATCATTCCTCAAATCAGGGCCTCTGTGGCATCATTAAATGACTATCTCCCACCCCAGGGTACTTAGGAGGAATGATAGCAAGTAGTTGCCATCTTCTGCCTCCCAGGCATATCAGATTAAAAAAAAAATAGATGTAAAATTCATCCCACCACCTTTCTCTATCTCTAAACCCCCCTCTCCACTGGAAACGGAGGTGCATACGGACATGCATCTCTCTCAACTGTGTAAGCAATATTAAAAAAAATTTGAATACACAAGATCTACTTTGCCCAGTGAACTAAAATATTCTCAGTGCAGACTTTTAGCTCCCCGGTTTGTAACAGATAGGCCCTTCTTACTCATGCTTGTGTTTCCTGGTGTATTTCCTCTTTTGTTTTGCAAGAACAATAGTAATTTTCACTGAATGAAATCGAAGTAACATAAACTGCATAATTCGAAACAGCCTGGAAATTATGATTAGCTGATTTTAAATAAACAAATATAAATTTTATGTCAAATATTCCTCTGTACCAAGAATGAAGTAATCCCATTCCTTTAAAAAACCCTGTATGAAAAGATGAGTAGAATTTAGAATATTTTTTAAAAAAAATGTGAGTTAAATTTAGCAAAATCACATCATTTTCTTTCTGCTAAAGCTAAAGCTAATGTAGAGGGCTGTATATATAATTTTGATCAGAATTTCTATTATGTTGAAGTGAATGTGTGTTATCATGCAGTGTAATGATATTTGCTGGTTTCTTGATGTTATAGATTAAATACAGTATATTACAGTTTGAACTGATATTGCTTTATCTCATAACCACTGCCCCACTGATTATCAAGAGTCTTTAGAGAAAATAGCTCATCGCACTGGGTGATTACATCCCTCAACTGAACAGTAGCTTACTGCCAATTATCATTACAATGCCATATTGATTTTTCTCATTTCCATAATGGAAATTAAAGCAGAATTTGTTTAAAATGAGCTTCCATATATTTTATGAGTGTGATTGGTTCCGAATATAAGCTATTTTTAAAATGTATTTTCTACAGTGATCTAATATCTTACTTATACTCTTATAGAAATTTAAATTTCTGTTTTGAGTTGAAGCTGAGGTAGACATAAGAAGGATACTTTAAATCTGTACAAAATATAAATGTTACCTAAGTATGTAGATTATAGATTTTATTATTGCTTTACAAAAGTCATTTGCTTTACAAATATACATTTTTGTTCTTAGACAATATTAGATTACTTAGACTCTTAATCACACAAATCAGTAAATTTTAATTTAATCTAACAAATAGTGTTGACTATAAATAATTTCTTAAAAGATGTATTTATTTGAAAGGCAGATTGACAGAAAGTGAGAGACCTTTGATTTGTGAGTTTACTGCACCAGTGTCACTTTGGCTGGGACAGGCTGAAGCAATGAAGCGCAAGCTTTATTGGGATCTTCTATGTGGGTGGGTGCGGGACACAAGCATTTGGGCCCTATTCTGCTGCTTTCCCAAGAGCATTCATACGGAGTCTAATCAGAAGTGTAGCAACCAGAGCTTAAACTGGCACTTGTATGGGATTTAAACCTTGCAGGTGATGCTTAACTGGCATACATTGTGTTGATAGTATGTAATATAAATATTTATTCAATGACTTAGATATGCCGCTTTGATAAACACTATGGGTAATAGAAACATGAATGTAGTTTTATGACTGTCTTCAGAGAATTTATAATCCAGAGGATGGGGTAAAGTATGTGGCAAAAGTCGTATTAGCAGGGAGTAAAAGAGAGGGCAAGAGGGAGAGAAGGAAGGAGAGACATCTGTATGGATGAGAAGAAGGGAGGGAGGGGGAGAGAGAGAGAGGGAGAGAGAGAAGGAGAGAGAAAGAATGAGAATGAATGAATCTTCTTTCTGTTGCTTCACTCCCTAAATAGCCACAACCTTCACTCCTTCCCAAGGCCAGAGCAGAGAGCTGGATTGGAGGCAAAGCAACCAGGATATGCACTGGTGTTTTTATGGGGTGCTGCTATTGCAGGTAGAGGTTTAACCTATCACACTGAAGGACCATATCCAAAGAAGACTTCAAATTGATCACAGGACATAGAGGGGAAGTCAGTAATGGCTCAAAAAAGCCCAGGTGACATTGAAAGCATGAAGATATGAAATTGGTGTTACATTGTGGTAAGAAGGAATAAGTGGGCTTACACAAGGTAGTGCAGGGAGGGCTCCTGGGACGTTGATTTGTCTGACTTTTTTTGGATACATTTAAGGCTTATAGCCAGAAGGTAGATTAAGGTTGGATCATAATTTGGGGATGAAGATTTTAAAATGTATTGGGAGACTAATGTTATGGCACATGGATTAAGCTTCTGTCAGTGACTTAGGCATTCTAAAGTAGAGTGCCAGTTTAAGTCCCAGCTGCCATGTTTCCAATCCAGCTGCCTGCAAATAAGCCAGTGAAACCAGTAGTAGATTGTCCAGATACTTGGGCCTCTGACACCTTGTCAGATATTCATATGAAGCCCCAGGCTCCTACCTTAAACTTGACACAGCCTCAGTGGCTGTCGCCATTTGGAGAATGGACCACTGGATGGAGCATGTCTATGTAGTCCAGAGGAAATTTTCATACAGAAGACTCGTTAAATTAAATTTAATCCGACCTTTTATAAAATGTGTGAAAGGAAGGAATGCAGCTTGGGATCATATTGAAAAATGGCTAATATAAAATGTTAGTAGTTGGACCTGGCACGATAGCTTAGTGGTTAAATCATCACTTTGTGCTGGGATCCCGTATGGGCACTGGTTTGGTTCACATCCCGGCTGCTCCACTTCCCAACTAGCTCCCTGCTTGCGGCCTAGGAAAGCTGTCAAGGACAACGTAAAACCTTGGGACCTTGTACTCTCCTAGGACCCCAGAAGAAACTCCTGCCTGACTCCTGGCTTCAGATAGGTTCAGCTTCAGCTGTTGTGGCCAACTGGGGACTGAACCAGAAAGTGAAACATCTTTCACTCTGTCTCTCCTTCTCTCTGTACATCTGCCTTTCCAATAAAAATAAGTAAATCTCTAAAAATATGTTAATAGGGAAGGAACATTTGGAATAGTCATTATAGAAAATGATGTTTATGACTGAATGCCAGAAAGTGAAATATGGAAGTCTTCTAGCCTTGTACCAGACATACATATGTTGCCACTTTCCCAGGCCTCCTTGCCATGCTCTTATCTCATTAGTCCCCATACAGCTTTTGAAACATTCCAAATGGACTAGCTAAATCTCAAGACCCCCAGATTTACCCTTAATTCTTTTCCTGGGAACATTTTTTCTTCAAGAATCCACTTGAATTTTCTCCATATCTGTCTTCTTCAATGAATCTTACTTTGCCGGTTCATTGAAAAATAGCATTCTGAATCTCCTTTTACTCTGTTTATTGAAGTTTATTTTTCTTCATTGCATCAAAGCACTAACATTACTTATAATGTTATACTAACATTACTTACACATTACTTATACAGTGATGTCTGCGTCTTTAGACAATAAGGTTCATGAGGATGATGGTTTATTGTCGTTGCTTGCTATATGTCTATCACCCAGTCAAGGATGCAGAATGTCTGGCACATGAGCTTAACGACCTACAAAATCATTGGCTCTGGCTCTGCCTAAGTAAATGCAGCTGCTGATAAAATTTCAACAAATCTAAACTAGGACAGTTTTTAAGTTGATACTTTTATGTTGATAGTTTTTTATGGCCCCTCAGTGGTGTTATATAGAGATGGAGATAGAGATGGATATCCAAACGATCCTTGCAGAAAAAAAAGAATTCCCTAAGCCTGATCTAAAGCAAGCTTGTTACTCAGGTGGATGAATGAACAGAATAAATGCAAGAATGAAACAAATGGGGGTTCAGAAAGTTATGCTAGTATTTTAAATGTAAAAGATTCAAAAGCTAGAGATGTTTTTAACAAAATTTTTGAGAAGTGGAGGAGGAGTTGATTTGGAGTCTATGTAGAGGTAAATTCAATTTATAAATTAAGCCTGAAGTATATGATGCTAGAGAAGAGATTAAAGACGTGATGTGTAATGGACAATGTAAAATGTGAAGGGTGTAGATTAAGGTAAATAATTCTTGTGTCTTTTTAAAGTCTGTATTTGAATCAATGGATGTAGAACAAAAGACTGACAAATAAAACTTGTCATTAAACAACTAAAACAAGCAAAACAGGATTTTCAAATATGAGAAAGAACTGCTTTGAAATATTTAATGTCTTTAACATAGATACTTATTCATACATGTATGATTTTTGTTTATTTCTCAGCTGGGTTAACAACTTTGGCCATGAAGGCCTTGGACTCTTACTGGATGTTCTGGAAAAGCTTCTGGACAAAAAACAGTAAGTATAAATATTTGCAAAAATTCACCAGAGGAGAAAGTATTAAGCATAGCATAATGTGTTTTTTTCTCTCTCATCTAGACAAGAAAATATTGATAAGAAGAATCAGTATAAACTTATTCAGTGTCTTAAAGCATTTATGAATAATAAGGTAAGCAGTGTTTATATCAGCTTTTGTTACAAAAGGTGAGAAGTTTCCTGACAGTGTGCAAGTATGAAGTAGACGAAACAGTGAATGTTTATTCAGTTTACAAAATGGTCTTTGTGATACAAATAATGTTTCCTTTAAATATTACTTAAAGTATACTTTTCTACAAAAGTTATTTATTCATGTTTTTATAGTCATGCAAATCTATCAGTCTACAGGCAAGTTAGTTCATATTTTTTTCTTTTGCAGTAGAAGGAAAAGTGAAATTAAATGCATTCCATATTAAGGTTTCCTTTGCACTGAAAAAGGAAAAATCATGGGCATTATTTGACTTGTTCGCAAAGAATAATTTAAGGTTGTATTAATTTTATATTACTACAACAAAGTACCGGAGGGAAGCTACCAGTGAAGACCAAAAGGTTTCTTTAGCTTACTTTTGGATCATCTTCTCCATCACTGGGCAGACTTATTGGTCCGCGCTCTGATAAGAGCATCAAATGACAAAGGCAATACATGCACACAGCAAGGATCAAATGCTAATCCAGCCAGTAAAAATAAGCTGGGCCCTGCTCAGGCTTTATAAGCAATTCTTACATGAAGAATTACAAGGACATGCCCCTAGTTACCCAAAAGATCTCCTAGCTAGCCTACCTCCCAAGCACGTTAATTATATTGTGTTTCCACCCTTCAATGCCATTAACTTAAAGCTGCCTAAGTTTGTGAATCAAATAATCATCAAACCATGGCAAAAGTTATCATTTTTTTCTTTTAAATTCCAATTAATATTAGTTAGTATACATAAAAGGCATCCCTGAAAGATGCCAGAGACTTTTTAAAATAATATGGTTTGCAATGTGAGAGACCTTTTAGGCAATGTTTTGTCTTGTGAAGAGTGTGATCTGAATATGAGAATGTTCTTTATATAAGCAGGTAGAATATAATGGATTAATTCACTGAATTGTGTAATTAGCTGTAGATGGTATTTTAAAAATCATAGAATATTTAGTAGAAATAATTGTAACCATACCCAGAAAGTTTGCAGATATGTGTTAACTATAAATGCAGTAACAATACATATTTAATGAATCTCTAGTCTTTCTGATGTTTGTGAAGTTATATATAAATTTATACATGTATCAACAACGATATTGTCCTTAATAGTAGATGCTTCTGGTTCATATGGAATTCCCATGTAGAATGTTAGTTATGTTTTCTTGTCTAGAACAGAAACTTGTAATGTTTGTTATGTCTGTAGCTGTAATTATGTTGAGTCTGATGCCTAATGAAAAATAATACACAATAATTCTCCATAGCTCAAGATGAAACTTTCTTCAATTGAGTGAGATAATGACTTAGTAAAAAGGAAACAGGATACTAGAAGTCAGGAAATACAGTTCATACTTTACCACTGATAAGTTGAGTGGCCTTTGGAAAAGCACTTAACCATTATGGTTATTAGTCTGCACATTTTGAATTTAAGTATAGGGACATTTGTTCTAAACTCCTATTGACTCACCTTGACAACAATCACAAATTTCCACAATACTAAGTAAGTGTAAGTATGGTAGTAACAAGACAAATTCACATTAATGAGTTTTTTTCAGAATCTCTTTCTACATGTCAACCTCTGCTGTATGAATACATAGTCTTTTAAATTATTAAGTATGTGATTGTTTTGAAGAATGCAATGATGCCACTTGATTTAAAAAAGGTTAAATATGTTTAGCCCATGTTGATGTCTTGCATATATGATGGACTCAGAACATGAAAAAGCAGATCTTTCAAAATATAGGCATGTCAAATAATAGGCATAAAATATACATTCAAAAAAGAAAATATATACTGATGTGTCCATTTTGTTTTGTCCAAAGCAAGCAAGAAAACTTCTATCTGAAATTACTTAAGCATCAAGTTTTGGGCCCCATGGATTTAGATTGCATGCTTCAAAACTATTCTCTTATCTATTTCATTTGGTAATAGTATCACAAACAGAAACTCATATGTTCCTTAACTCACATTGCCATAATACAGCTGTGATGTTTGGATTTCTGGTCTTTCAGAAGTTTACATTTTGTCTCAGTATGTGCCTCCATGTTAGAAACGTACTTTTAAATTTGAAAATTTGAAAATTTAAATTCCTTACCATTCAGTCTAATTGATTATTATAGCTCTTATTTTGTTTGGTAATTGGTGATAATCTGTCAGTTTCACCTTCAAATTTTTTACTTATTTAGTGCATTTAATGGGTTCCTGGCCTTCTTTGTATGTATTTATTCCCTTTGTGATATTAGCTTTTTATTGTGTTTTCTCTTACATTTTTTTTACTATGTTATCTTAATATATATCCTCATTTATTATGCTCTGTGCTAACATAATATTTAAGAGCTTTAACTCTGTTTCCCACCACAAGTTCTTTTAGAGTTTCAATTAGGAACAGTTCCTGGAATGCCTTAGTCACATATTTAGTACTTAAGTTTAGCTTGAAATGATAATTTTGTTCTGCGCAAAAGTTGTTACTTTTCACTATTATTCTTTAAAATGAAACAAACAGGGGAAGGAACTTGGCAGAGAGGGATGGGAGACCCCAGCACCAACTAAACTATATCAAAAACAATTTTTAAAAAGAAGCAAAAAATTTTTTAAAAGAAACACATATTTTTGTAAGAAAGCTAAGAAACACTTTGTGGTATACAGATCAAAAATCATTTCCTTTCATCTAGTGCTTATAAAAGCACTTATTGTTCTTAATTTATATTGATATAAAATTACTCTGATAGATTGTTATTGTGTTGCCTTTATGTGATAAAAATCCAAGTGTTAGACCTCCTTTTACATCTTTCTTTTGTTAGAACTAGCAGATACATGTGCACAAGCATGTCTTCATGTCTAGAAAACAAGTAATAATGATGTCTTCTCTGCCCCCGTTCACTGTGACACTTAATAGAACTCTGATTCCAATTCTTTGAGTTAACAGCATTTGTAGTTCCATATGGGGAACTGCATGCCTGAGTGGGGAAGAATATAGGTATGAGAAAGCTCATACTGAGGTATGTTGTTTCTTATATTGGCATATACCATCCATAGCTTTTTTTCCCATTGTAGTCGCCCTAATGCTTCACACAAAGCTGTTGGATAATTTAGCTGTAAATTTCAGACATCTCCAGGAAGATCAAGTGAGATAAGTAAGTGGGATTTAGGAAATCATGGCGATATGTATTTTACATGTTGTTCTTTGTTAAAGAAATGCCAATTGGTCCCATGTTTTTGAAAAATTTTTAGAATTTTTGTGATGCTCTAAGGGGGATATATCTAATAATCAAGGAGCAAAATCTCTAAAATGTAGTCATTTCATATAAAAAATAAGGATCAATAAATGCCCTGGAAAACATTCATATCAGTAGCTAGAGTTTCTGTGGTGGTATGAATTTTTTTGAAAATCATTTTAAATTGTTTTTCTATTAAACCTATTTTCCTTGTTTCCATTTGAATGAATGTTCTCCCCTTTTCCCCTTTAGTTTGGGTTGCAAAGGATTTTAGGAGATGAAAGAAGTCTTTTACTATTGGCAAGAGCAATTGACCCTAAACAACCCAACATGATGACTGAAATAGTGAAAATACTTTCTGCTATTTGCATTGTTGGTGAAGAGAATATGTAAGTATTGCTGCACTATTGTATTGATGGCATGTAAAATGGTATTTAAACAATAAATATGTATTTATTTATTATATTTTAGAAAAGTTTTGATTGAACTTGATCTCCATATTTTATTTAGCATTCTGTTGATGTTATGAAAATTAGATTTAACACTTCTAATGTGAAAGTATTTAAGGTTGAATTCAAAATGAATGTAAAGCATTTTGTGTTGCTGCAGGTAAAACCGTTATTAGAAAAGTAGGTACCAAAGAGAATATACAGCTTTCATGCAAAATGCAAGTTAAATAGATGTTCAAAATTGAAACATATTGATGGCTACCATGGTAACCTGAGAAGGGCAGAGTTTGCCTCCAACCGAACCCAGAACGGATGGCGGAATTCTGGCGGACCCCTCAGGTGGTGAGACCACTGTTGCACCAATGAGGAGCACAGACCCACATCCCCCCACCACTAAGGGTCAAAGCGATCCCATCACAGCTTCTGTGTCAAGGAGAGTTTAAAAGCCCCTTCCCTGTCTCTTCCGCACTCTTCTTCCTCTGCCACCCACTCCTTCATGTCGGTCTGTCTGCTGCATGGGGAAGGGAAGCCCGTGTCCGTGGTTCCCTGAGATAAAGGCCGTCATATTCTGTTCATATACTCAGCTGAGTTATTCTTTCCCTGGTGGTCAGCAAATCTAACATTTTGGCAAGCGGTGAATCTAACACGTGTAAGGGAGACTAGCTTCCAGGAAGTGAAGATGCATTGTAGTATGCATCTCTTCTCCAAATAAAAAGATGATTCTCAATGAAACTGTTAAATATATGTTTACAATATGATACTAGGGTTTATATCACTATACCTAAAATGCATGATATGATACCCTCAAAAAGGCAGAAAGTTCAACTTGTGATTGTTGCTGGCAGACTATGCTGTAATAATATGGGAGGAAACAGTATGGGGAGGCTGGGAGATTATTAGTAGGAATCCCTGTGGCTCTGGAACCATATCAAGGAAAATTATATATATATACGTATATACATATTAAATATATTAAAGTATTAAAATTATAATATTTTCTATATATAATAGATTACATATATGTAATCTATATAATAGAAAAGATGAGTAAAATAATTTATATCTCTTACACATACACAAATATTCATGCACTCATGCAATGAAATTTATGCTACATTGTATAACTAATTGAATTTACTTGATAAATTTATTTTGAGCTATTATCTCCTTTTTATGTACCATAAAAAAAATGGTGAAGTAATCATTTACTGAGTGAAATAACTTCTTGAAAAGATAAGAGAGCTGTTTATAATTATTCCAAGTATATATATATAATGTATATATATAATAATTGCTTAATTATATATGTGAACATAATTAAACAGTATATTGACACAAATTCATTAGGTCATGTGTTCTTATGGAAATAATATTGAATCAAAAGAAATGTAAGATGCGGTATCCTCCATAAGTCCTGTATCTCAGAAACTGTTGTGATGGAATATCTGCTAAGAACATGAACTAAAATATTTCTTCTGAGTACTTTGTGTGACAGTAATATTTTAAATTTGGGTCAGAACAGAGCCATTAGGGCCATGTGAAGATTTGAAGATATCTTAATTTGTGAACTCTATTACAATTGTTAGAATGAAATGAGTTTTTTTTTTTTAAATTTTGTTAATGTTAGTAGCTGACATTGGGAACCAAAGCTAAAACTGTAAATGGAAATATCATCATACAGCATTAGATATTTTCTCAGTAACAGCAAGTTGACAATGAGATAACACAGGCAATCATTCTTTAGGTTATAGAGAATAGTTTTTGTATGAGTAAGGAATATTTTTGCCTGTCAATGAAATTTTTAGTTCTCAATGCATAATACATAATCCAGCCTGTTAATCTTTGTTGTATTTGATTATAGTTTCACTTATCATTTAGTAGGAGTGGCACACTATTTCGAGGTTAATTTGGTTTTAAAATTGTATGCAAATAGTTGCCAAGTTTTTTTTTAGGTAAATAAGATTCTTGTACTACATAAATATTGTTGCTTTTTTAAATTACTGGACTTTTTCTTTAAGGTTATTTTTAGTTGTTCTATTATCAAATAATTTTTGCTTTTATAACTTCTTTTTAAAATATTCACTCTTCAACACTTTATTATGACATTAATATTAGAGCCTGCTTAAACTTTATTATTGATACAATCTTTGCATACTTTTCAAATATGTATAAAATGATTATAAATACTATATTATATTTAATTGATATTACTTTCTATGTTAACACATGACATATCAAGCCTGGAAAGTTTGGTTGCAGTGCTTTTCAATACACATTAATTTTCTTCTGAAATATTAAAACTGTGCCAAGAAAAATTAGTATCTTCAATGCGACGGCCAGCTGGTACTGAGCTGGTCTGAAGCCAGGAGCCTCTTCCAGGACTCCCAGATGGGTACAGGGTCCCAAGAATTTGGGCCATCCTCCACTGTTTTTCAAAGCCATAAGCACGAACTGGATTGGAAGTGGAGCAGCTGGGACACACACTGGAGCCCATATGGGATGCTGGTGCTTTGAGTTGGAGGATTAGCCAATTGAACCATTGTGCTGGCCTCAAAATGATTCTTAATTTATAATGACACTTCAGGTAGAAGGAATGAATTTAAGAGGTCTCTTTTACCACATGATGATTATGATTAGCAGCAATATAGTGTATACTTGAAGATAGCTATGAGTAAATTTTAAATGTTTCAATACAGAAAAGATAAGTATATGAGTTAATGAATATATTAAGTAGCTTGAATTAGCCACTCCATAGTATATCTGTATTTCAAAACATTGTATTGTTAAAATAAAACACACCTTTTGTTTCAATTGAAATGGGTTTTTAAAGTGTAGTATTGCATCAAGCATTGTAAAGAAAACAGGTAGGATCTGAAGGAATGATTCATGCTCATGATGTGTATATAACATGCATTTCTTGTTTTTTCCCCCCTCTGCCAATACAGTTTAGATAAACTTTTAGGAGCCATAACTACAGCAGCAGAAAGAAATAACAGGGAACGATTTTCACCAATTGTTGAAGGATTAGAAAATCATGAAGCCTTGCAATTACAGGTGATTGGGTTTTGTCTACTTCTATTTTGTCTATTTCTGGAGGTATACTTAGAGTGCTTATTTTGTGTAACGCCTACTTGGTTTTAGCTGGCATTTAAATAGCATGAAATGCCAAAAGCATTCTTCCGTTTTTTTGTTTCGTTTGTGAAAGCAATAATGTGTTTAAAATTAGAGAAAATCTTCTGAATTATTGTCAATATTATGATTATGACTATCATTAATTTTTCAGTGTAAATTTAGTAATTAATATGATAACCAGGAAAATTTGTGCCTTAACAATAATCAGGTGAAAAGAATATGCAGTTTAGTCAATGCCATTATCCTAAAAATATTTATGAAGAGCATGGGTTCGTAGGAATTTAAGGAAGTTTAATATACTACTATGTGTTATTGAAACCTTTGAAGATGTACTAGAATAAAGGGAGTTGAATTGTAATTTCAAAGTTAGGATTCATCTGTTAGCCCTGTGTAGACCCAGCTTAAATAGCTCCTAAAGAAAATTATAGAATTTATAACCTTTCTTAAATGGTTTCAGGAAATGAACCATTTTGTGAAATGAATTGAATGAAAATTTTGTGAATGAAAATTTTGCTTTTGAGAAATGAGAAGCCCAAGTTAATGTGATTTGGTCCTGGACTGAACATTTGAATGTGCATATATTTTTACATTCTCATAATAACACAACCAGCTAGGTATTATTTCTGTCTCTGTTTTGCCTGTGAGATAAATTGATTAAGAAAGATTAGATACAGTGTCTCAAGTGATGCAGTTTTTAAGTGGAGAAATCAAACAGATTTTATTAGAATTTGATGCCAGATGCTTTGGTTTCTTTTAGACTATGTGTACTGTTTAATGCACCATGAAAATGTCTTTGTAAAATGTTGCTTAAGTTCTTGCTTTGTCATTGAGCAATGACAATATGGTTGAACATTGTTCAATTCTTTTTTATTTTTTTTTTTACTATTTGGTGTTTTTAAAATATGTCTATAGTTTAAAAGCAGAGTTTCATGGTGCCAGGGTATGGAATGTGGGAGAAAGAAAGAGAGAGAGAATCTTTCATCTACTGAATTCACTTTCCAAATGGACTAGAACAGCTACAGTTGAGCCAGGCTTAAGCAGGAGCCAGGAACTCCATCAAGGTCTCCCATGTACTTAACAGCAACTCAATCACTTGGACCATCTTCTGGTGCTTTCCTAGGTCCATTGGGCAGGGAGCAGCTGGGACTGGTACCAGCCCTCTTATGGGATGCTTACGTTGGATTACAATGTCACCGTATCTTAACCTTGTGTACCACGATGCTGGCCCCAGTAGTATTTAAATATTAAAAATCTTTATTTGGGATGAAACAAATCCAATTTTATTGAGCTGTGAAATACTGGCATCTGTTTTTGGCCAGAATTTGAAATTGTATCATATATATGATTTGATTTATCTAAAGGAAATCTGTAATATTAAAACTGCAATACTTATTCACATATTTAAAGATATTTGTTATTTGGCATTTTTTCTACTCCAAGTATAGTGAAATATTGGAAAAACTTTCATGGTGTGCTTTATATGTCAAATATATTTAAAAATTCATGTATTTTTTTTTACTATTTTTCTGTTCATAAGATATTCTTAATATAACAAGTACCATTTATAAAATGTTATACCTCAGCTAAAAGGTTACAATATTTTTTACCTGAGTTCCTGGGAGTAATGGATTTGGTCTCTGTACTGTGTTTATCCACCTAAATGTCATTGACTTTTAGGCATAAAGTTGTGGTTGTAATTCTCTTGACAAATTTGTTTAGAAGAAATAAAATATTTTACTTATATTCAAAATTTTCTTTTAGTATGTGCTCAGTTTACCACACTTTGGGCAAGTATATTTACATACTTTAAACTTTTCTTTAAATGAGCTTTCACCACAATTCTGTGAATTATATATTATTATCTACAGTTTACTTCTGAGGGAATTGAGTTACTGGAAGTCTAAATGACACACTAAAATTGTACAGCTATTAGGGAATAGAACTGTTATTTGAACCTTGGTATATGTGATGCCAACATTTGTATACTGGGTTTCCTGGCCTTTCAATTATATCTCTGCCAAGGAGTAGTTCACCTCACCTTATGATTTGGAAATGACTTCATTAGCCTCAAGTTGCAGGGTAGAATAGAATCATAAAGTGTCAGTTTGTTAACAGGTAACACATGGGAGAATCAAAACCTTGCTAAGAAGTATTTAAGAAGTTTTTAACTATTGATTATAGGTGGAAACACAACCAAACCAAAATTTAAAATTTCTTTCTTTAATGAACTACATAATTAACAATTAGTTGTATACAGAGCCTAAAGCTCTCACAAGAATTGTGAAGTGGGTTTGTTTATTGAAAATTACTTAGCATGAACAAAAGTATCCTCTAAAATTAAAAAAAAAAATCTGTACAGAGTACAGAAATAAAAAGCAAAAGTTTAAAAGTATTGTTTAAAAAATATAATTAGTGTTGTATTTTAACAAAATGACTTTTCTATTCCTGTAATATCCTGAGACTTCTTAAGATGTTATTACAGTCTGAGGAAGTAATTCTGTTAAAATACAGGACTAATAAAAGTTTTAAACAAAAACTTTATACATACATTTTTCTTTTTGTACTTTAAAGCAGATTATTTTTATGAATATCTTTCTAACCACTTAAGTGGAATTTTGTATGTGCGATAAGATTTTTATTGTCAGTAGTTCAAGAAATAGACATAATACATCGTATGTCTTCATATGCTCTACTTTCATCGAATCCCTCTCAGCTTAATAGCATCTTCCAGCATCCTCCACACTATCACATCTTCTTTTGATATGACTTAACCTTCTTGCGAGTGTGTCATTTCCCTTAATTCTTTTATAGTCTACATTTGTAAAATAATTATATTTTTCCTGTTTTTATAATTAGTTTCATGACATCTTTGTAACCGTTTGCGAGAAGTTCTCCAGTGATCCTATACTATCATATTCAGGGCCTCTTTCTGGTTCCATTCAGTTGATTCCATTGTCAGCTGTCGTCTTGGATGTTTTTTTTTTATGTCCTGTTCCTAGAGATAACTTTGTCTTCCTGCTGTCAGGTCATCTTTAACTCCATTTTCTGCCTTTTGAATGTGTTTCTTCTCGGATATTTTGTTTCTGATTTTCTATATGTGGTCTTCCATTTTATATATACTTTTATAAATAAGGACATATGTATATTTATATGTTCATATACACATGCATATCTATTTTCTCCGTGAAAGTTCTCAACTATTTATCTAATTTAAATATCTACCCATGTTTTAATGATTTTCCTGATTTGAAATTCCAGACTTCTTTCTGTACTTAAAACTACTTGTTCAAATACCTGACTGGTTTTCTTGCAAGGCTTATTAAAAGGAAATTAAAAACAGCTTTTATAAACTAAATCCCAGATAATATTCTCAATAGTTTGTATGTGTTATCTGGTTTTAACTTTACACTAATTCTCTGAGAGAATTTGTAGAAGTAGCTTCATTTAATAGATGAATAATCTGAGGTTCCCTGACTAATAATAAATGTTGCATAAAAGCTACTGCTTCATATGTGCTGGTATGAGTATTATAAGAGATACTTTGCAAACGTGCTTACAGAAAATCTGAACTTTGCAGAATTGTGGTACGGAGGTACAGAGAAAATCCAGAAATTATAACTGTCAGATTGATAGCAAGTGAAACTAGATAGCAACATAGTAAAAGACTGATGCTGGAATGCAAATAGTGCTAACTTTTGGTATCATTTAAGGTCTGGACAAGTTGCCCTATACACCGTGTGTTATAAGTTGGCTCAGCAACTTCTATTAATGAATGCTCTTGAGTCAGCAAGACATGCTGAGTTATATCTATTCTATTCTGTTATGAAAGTTGTGTAATTACCTTCAGAAAATATTTCATGTGAAAGCAGAGGTTATATCTTAGATACACCCAAATAGACTGGTTCTGTGTACCTCTGTTCCACAGTCAGTAGCTTTTATGAATCACTTATTATTAGTCTGTGGAGAAAAAAAAAAAACTTTATAATTTAAAAAAATTCACTATAGCTTACAAATAAGAAGGGAATTTATGAGAATGAGCATGTTAACTATTACCTTTTGAATGATGGTCTAATGTTACTTAGGGAACTTATTTTATTTATTGAAGATTTTGAAGTTGAATTATGATAATATCTACTATTTTCAATTCTGGAGAGTCGACATTGTTTTAGATAATATAGAAAGTGACTGACAGTTTTTGAAACCATTATATTGATTTCTTTAGCACTATGAGGGGTCTCCGAAAAGGTTATGGAAATGGGTATTATGAAAAACTATACATGGAATTCATATTTTGCACCAAAATAAACTTATATTTTAACTGTTTCCATAAACATTTTGAAATTCAATCACATTTAACATGCTTAGCACTCTTACCAAACCTGTGTCTTTTGCTTTCATGGTGCAAAGCTCTCCTTATTTTTATTTTGCCTTTATGTTTCATTTGAAAATCTCTTATTTCTGTGTTTGAACCTTAACAATCTTATCATACTTTGCTATCTCATGATGAACCTTCAGTAGCCTAATCCAATCTCTTCCATATTCCTCCCATATCTCATTAAACCCCCACATATTCAGGTGCCTCCTGACTGAAATTCAAGTTCAATATTGTTCTAGCTGGACATTCTTTTTCTTTATCCTTCTCTTCCCTACTCCAATCCCCTCACCAACCTTGATCTGCTCATTTCTTCTATTTTCAATTCTGATTAATTTTAGCATTGTCTTCTAATTGGCATGTGGCAGAAATGTAATAGTCAACTTCGAATCTGCCTTTTCTCTATCCTCTGTTCCATCAGTGACCAAATGTTATGTTCTACTTCCATAGTATTTTACTTTTTTCTTTGGCATACTATCCCTCCTTCTTTACCCCCCACTTCCATTTGTTTATTTCAAGATATCACATCTCACTGTATTACCTGGAATTTTGAGTCCCATCACTCTTTCGTTCCAACCCTTCTTTAAATAACCTTCCAGCCCTTCTTTAAGTAACCTTTCACAATGTTATGTGTCTGAAATGCAATTCTTTTTAGATCATGGCTTAAATATGACAATGGCTTCCAAGAGCTTCTTAAAATTTGTTTTCATTTGTTACCTTCTCCTAGTCTCAATACACTGTCGTGTTTCTCGATGTGAATTTTTTTGGGGGGTTAGCCATACCATCATTTCTTTCCTGGATATCTTTATGCTATTTGTCACTCTACTTCCATGCCTTCATACATGTCTTCTTTTTGCCTGGAATGTTGTTTTTCCATTTTTGGACTTAACTAACTTGTTCTGTACATTTGTATCTTTATTGATTGGCACTTAACTTTCACTTAAACCATCCTTTTTCCTAACGCCTGTCTGGGTAAGAGTAAAGAAAAAAAAAACATTGTTAATGTCAACAGAGGATTTAATAAGGTCAAGTGTGTGGCAGTGTCAATAAAATTTCAAAAGCACAATTTGTCACAGTTAATAGCAATATGAGGAATCTGAGAATGTACTGGGTTTGACAAATATTTTTGTATGTTGCTGTATGAATTGTGATAAAATAAAATCTGAAATATACATATGGTATTAATTTAGTGTGTTTTTAACATTTTGGTGGGAAAAACTAGGAGTCAGAAAGAAAAAGAAGTACAGATGAGACTTGCCTTTTGAAAGTTTATAACCTTTTCTGTGACAGTTTGCCCTCTATACTACACTGCTGTGAATAAAGAATTTATTTAATTGCTGCAGAAATATAATATGTTACAGTAGGATAAATTCATAATATGTTATTAAAAACTGATAGTAATTAAATTTAGTATATACTTATACATGGCAGCAATTATAGTGTATTATTTATGTTTTAATTTGTTCAAGATTATGTATGCCTGCATATATAGAAAGAAAGAGTATGGGAAATAATTGAAATTCCATTATAAAATGAGATAATTCAGAATATTCATGATTTTCTGTGATATAAAGTTTTGATTCTCATGGAAGCTTAAAACTAAAATAAATGTGACAAAGCATGTTGAAACTTAGAGCCCTTGTCAGGAAACCATGCCACAAAAGAAATCTTAATGATGAACTTTTTGATACACAGTTCAAGAGCATTAGTTTTCCCTTTAGTATAAAGGAAAATGATTTTCAGCAAGTCCAGATTTGTGGATCATAGCTGAAAGAATCCAAAGCCGAAAGTCATGAGCCCTGAGTCCTATAATTGGAGTTCCTTATCAGTGTGCTCTTGGGTAAATTATCTAATCTTTTTAGATTTTCATGTTTTTAAACTCAAAGTTAATATATTGGACCAGAGAGTTTGATGCTTTATCTGACTCTGAAGTCCAGTGGTTCTTCATTTTCCTTCTTGAGAATTGGAGATTGTTTAAAAAGTAGATTGCTTTTGCATTATCAGAGAATAATAGAGCTGCCTCACATTTTTAAAGAAATATATATTTGGATGTTGAACATACCAATGAAATTAATGTCTACATTGTTGGGAGACACGTCAGTGGCCGCATTTAGGACTTACAAAGGTTCATGAAAGACACCCATTGTAAAACTGAAGGGGAAATCAGAGGGGAGTGGAAACCTATGCTTATTAAATTGTTATAAAACAAAGAATAACAATAATTTTTAAATGAGCTTTGCACTTCTTTCAAGCAAAGTATTAGGGATTATACTGGAAATCTTATCTATAAAGTCTTGAGTACATTGCTATTCATGTTCTCTACAATATTATATATTGGTGCTCTACAGTATAGTAACTAGCAGTGACATGTTCCTGTTGAGCATTTGAACTTGGCTACTGAAACCTACCAACTAAATGTTTAAGTTTATTTAATGATTGTTAATAGCTCTCATATTGATCAGCATAGTGCTATGGTTTGTGTGTGTGTGAATAGGCACACATGCATATCTATGTTGTATAGGGAAAATTTGGGTGGAATGTAAAGGAGAGGCATTGAGAGACCATTATTTCAAATTATTGGTTTCTGTGCTTATTTGTCAAGATGTATATGAAGTACAATTTATAAAATCCAAGAAGCCCTTTTCTACTTCTGTTCTTATAAAAATTCCATTCTGTATTAGGATATGCACTTTACATTCCAGACAACAAATTTTTAAATTAATTGTATGTTTTTCAACTAAAATTTATGTTCCTAGTTTATTAAACATGTTGTAGCAGTTAAATCTTACTACATTTAAAATATTTTGTTGCGAAAGTCTCTGTTTTAAGTCTATGACATATCTGACATGGTGGATATTTTCAATTATATGTTTTAGTAAAGCACTATAGCTTAAAGCATATAAGCATATGCCTGATTCTTGTATAAATCTGCTTTCAGTCTTATTTTCACTGTGAAACATGATCAACTTTGTATAGTTTTTAATGGGGATGAGATTAGATGGTGAATTATGTAAAGCTGCTGAATTGTTAGCAACTAAGAATAATCATTAAAATGAAAATAGCTCACTGCTTATATTTAGCTATGAACTCCAGATCTATAAATTGAACATTTTATGCTTATGATGACATAATACGATGTTTTTATTTTTAAGCTAATTGTTTTTAAAATTTAAATTGACATGTGTAGATTGTATGAACTTTAAATCAATTTCAATCCTGTCCACAGATGAAAAAGCAATATTTGTTTAGTAACATATAGGGGTAGAAATAATTAATATGGTTTTCTTATTCCCCAGATTTAAACAGTATAAATATTTCTGAAAAATAGTATTGCTAGTATGTTGGAGAAAGAGGTGTAGTTTGACTTATTGTTTTTCATTAATGTGACATATAGCAGGATTTGATAAACAGTAAATGGTACATTGTTTAAACCAGTGCCAATTCAAGCTACTGACTTCATAGTGTCTCCTGTTTGTTTTATGCTATAGTCAATGGGTAACATAAAGTTTAACATTCAACTACATATTCATATATAAATACTTAATATTGAAAATTTCATAAGACATAATTATGTTGATCATGCATCCATTAATTTGATTGACTTGCTATTTTTATTCTCTCTTGATATAAGTATGTTGTTTGCATTAAGCTACAGTTATTGGACTGACTAGGTTGTTGCTTATTGAAATATATTCTTTAGTATTGGGACATTAATAAAAGTCATTAAGCCAGAATTTCTTGCAATAAAAACAATTCTATATGTAATTTTCTATTAATTTTGGATTGAAAGTATAATTTATCTTGCTTGATCATGTCATAATTGTAGCATAGCATGAATCGTTCAAGCAAACACAATGATAATATGACCACGAACATATAAAGCATATAAACTTATATCCCATCCTAATGATACTAAAGACTTCAAATTTCTTATTGAACATAGAATGATTAAGTAATTCATTAAGTTATTGCTTTCATAAATAACTTCTATTTAATGTTCTTTTAAGATATTGCCTAGTGTATAGCAAATTTGAGTTGTAGAAGTATTTCTTAATACTTTGTTAGGTAAATTGGATTAAGTTGTTCGTTATCCTTTAAATGTCTGTTAATGTTATAAACAACCTCAATCATCCTCTTCAATGCATGCAACCTTTGATTTTTGAAGCTAGATTTGAGATAAATGGGCTCATCTAAAGAGAAATCACTTTGAGTACGCAAACTGTAGGTCTGAAGGTAAAAGCAGTATGCGTTTTAATCTACTCTCCCTATCTTGAAAAATATAAATGTACAAAATAGTCTAGAGTAACTAAACTGAAATACAGTGTCATGTGTTTCTCTCATACTATTGGTTTATTTGTACTCTTTTATATGCTTAACATCTATACTGAAACAGATACATTCTAAAACTCACATTGTTGTCAGCTCTAAATATTCTATTATTATTCATTTTGTAAAAATAATGAGCAACCCCAGAGCCTATGGAACCATATCATAAAACAAAAAATTTTACATTCAATAAAATCAATTTAAATATTCAGCAATTCAGTTAAGATATTGGTTGCCTAATATAATATAATATAATATAATATAATATAATATAATATAATATATATGTAGCATTTTCTAAATACTCTATTCAGGAATAATATATAGCATTTTAAGGTTGAAATTTATAGTGAATACTTCCCCCTTTTAATACATAACCTCACATCAGAGGGTTAAACAAAAAAGTAAAGCTTAGTTTTTCATGTCAATGCAATTCAAGGAATATTTCACTAGGGAAACAACAGCCTTTATCTGTCATTTATTATGCCATATATGCACTTTATTATATTATACACCCTAGTAGAGGTATCACAGTATCATCTGGTCAGTATTAACTCACCCTTAGCTCTCATACCTCACATATTAATTCATCTTAATTATAATTTTTAATACTCATGTAAGTTAAGCCAAATAACTTGCATTGAAAGCATAAAAAATGCAATGATTTTATAAAATTATCACTATCTTCTACTTAACAGTATGATACTTTTATAACTTTATTGGATTTATTTTAGAGAAGTGTTTATAACCAGTAAGAATTGAGGCCAAGTACACTTTGAGGAGAGCGGAAATTGAAGGATACATTTAATGATCTTTTAAAAAGTCTCTGTAAGGAAATTTTGGATGTTTCAGTGTTAGAATTAGCTTAATACTCTGTTAAATTATTGTTTGCCAGAGTATAACATACATTCATCTCTTCTTTGTTAGAACTTTTTTGGGCAATAAAATTTTTATAATTGTTAATTTTATAATTATACTGAGTATTCATTATCAGCATTATACTTGTAGAAATGTTTGTATTTCTTTTTTTATAGTATGTGTCTTTTAATGATCCACTGTCTGAATGCATAGAATAAATATATCTTTAATTCATTTGAATTTTTAAACAAATTTTCCTTTCCAATTACAGGTGGCCTGCATGCAGTTTATAAATGCCCTTGTTACTTCCCCTTATGAACTTGATTTTCGAATACATTTAAGGAATGAATTCCTACGTTCAGGACTAAAAACAATGTTACCAGTAAGTTGTGTGTATACATTTATTATGCTGATGAACTTTAATATTATTTTTAACTACATGTGCTTTGCTATTTTCTTTTGTAAAGATTTATATATTTTATATTGTATTAATATCAATTTCCATATAAGTTTTGATTTGGAATTCAGCTAATGATGTGCTCTGAAGTGATGTGTTTTGGGGTATTTATTTTTTCATTTACTTATTTTGCCTTTTTATGTCAAAAAAAATCCTTTCCTTTATAATTGAATGTTAATGCATATCATACTTTTTGAATTTTTAAATTATTAAATTTTTGTTTGTGCTTTAGTAATTTAGGGTGACTTCATTTGTTTTCAGCATATGTAGGTGCAGAGTTTTGACTACTGTATTTTAATCATGTTGTTTAGGAATGATACACTTGATATAATTCTTTAGGAACTTTTCTAATGAGAGACATTTTATTTCTTAAATTGAATGTCAATATTTGCTATAATTATGAAACTGAAAGCATTTTTGGTAATAATTTTGGAGGCTGAATTGAAGATAAGTACACGAGTATTTTTAAATGCAAGTATTATTGTGGCTTTCTATTTTAAGTATATGAAATTATAGAAAAAAATGTTTCAATATCCTAGCATTGTTAAATGAGACAGGAGAATCTTACTCTTCTTTTTATTGATACTACTTAGAATATACTTGACAGACCAGAATTAACAGAGGAAGAAAACAAAGACACAAAAAGTAAAACAAAAAATGTCAATGAATCTTTACATATTATGTATATAAAACCTAATGTACTAGGAATACCAAAAGTGGAGGACTTTCATGGTGAAGAGGCAGTGCATAGCATGTTTCCATACCTTGTAATTGAATATTCTTGATTTAAAGAAGCTGGACAATATCATAAATTATATGATTGGGTCTATTTAATCCCAATTTAAAAACATGTATGAGTTGATGTACTTGGTTTGGAAGTTGTTGTGCCACTTGAATATTTCTTTAATTCTTTAAAAACAAATTATTTCATCATGAATATAAGATGGAAAACATAAACCTGATCTTAGAGGTAATGTCATTTTAGTACTAAAACCTCAAGCAAGCAGCCAATCAACCAACCTACAAGGGAATTGATTGTAGTGAATCAGTAAATTTTTAAAAATAATTTATATCAAAGCCTAATTTGCATTTAATTTAAATATATTCATCGTTCATGGTATTTATCTGCAATCTCATTTCGTGAATTGTCTGTGGCCAAAGATGGCTAGAGATAATCTTAAAATAATGGCTCAACTAGCTGATGCTCCCCTTTCAAGAGCTGGGATCCAATATGGGCTCAGGTTCATGTTCTGGCTGCTCCACTTCCAATCCAGTTCCCTGCTTCTGTCCTGGGAAAATAGCTGAGGATGATCCACAGTGTTGGGACCCTGCACTGCCATGGGAGACCTGGACAAAGTTCCTGGCTCCTGGCTTCAGCTCAGCTCATCTCCTGCCATGGGGCCGCTTGGGGAATGAATCAATGAATTGAAGATCTTTCTCTCTGTATCTCCTTCTGTTTATAAATCTGCCTTTCCAAAATAAATAAGTGCATTTCTTAAAATTGATTATTATGACTATCCTTGATTCTTTTTTGCTTTTGAATATCCTTCTCATTGTTGTCCATGTTTGCCCTTGCTGAACTAATGTTTTGGTGGGAAAGTAATATGTTTGGCAAGTTGCAGGCTTCAAGGGCTCTTTTGCCTTTATTTAATGCACCATCTTTTGTGTCTTAGTCATTTCTATGACTTTCAGTCCCTCTCCACATATGTGTAACTTCAAATTTGTTTTCTGCTTATACTTCTGAATAGCTGGAGAACCAAAGTGCTTCTTAACATATTTTTTTCCTCATTTTTTTTTCAGAAAAGGATTTGTTCTTGCCCTTGATTTTGCGCTTTTGTCTGGTTATATTAATTTCTATTTGACTTGTTAGCATTGAGATATCTTCCTGATTTGTTAAATTGACAGTTAAGATTTTACAACAATGTTTCTGAAAAAACTACATTTATTCAATGGGCCACATTATCCCTATATAAAGCCTACTTTGGTACCATGTTCTTATTTATGTATTAAAAAATAGATTTATTATTTATTTGAGTTACCGAGAGAGCTGTTCCATATGCCAATTTAGTTCTCAATTGGCTGCAGTGGGCAGGATATTCCAGATTAAGATCAGGAGCTCCTTCCTGATCTAACCTGTACAGAGCAGAATCCCAAACACTTGGCCTGTCTTCTGATGCCTTTCCGAGAAGACCTTTAGCAGGGGGTTGGAACGCAAGTTGAGCAGCCAAGACACCTGTATATGGCATGCGAGAATTCTATGCAGTGGCCTTACTTGCTATGCCACAATGATGTATGTGTTCTTGATATATTAATCTAACTAAATTTCTCTTTAACTGCTATGTTATTATATACTCTGCCTCTCAGATTCCTAAACAAAAGTGCTAAGTTTCATGTTTCTTTTAAATTTTGAGAATAGAGGCTAAAGAGATTTTTATTTTTTTTTTAAGACAGTAGAGCTGAAAATGACTAAATATGGCTCAAATTCCCAGTCAAGGAGTTGAGCATATGACTCTAAAGTGAGATCATCTATAATTGAAGGTGGACAGGGAATTTGACTTAAAAAAAGATGCCATCTACAGGTATTTCTGATGCACAAGATGGGAGTCAGAGGCCAGGCAGATAGATCCTGAAAATATTAGAAATAGTTTATTTAGCATTAGAGTATTCATTATTATTCTTTTAACTTGGTTTTCACAATTTGGAATAGGACAGAATGGTCAGACCTATCAAGGTTTGAATTTATGTTTCAATATGCTAGATTACCTCATATATCAACTACTGTCTATTTAACTCAATACTTGAATTTAAACCAGGTTTACACAGACACTAAAGCTTAATAATACATTTATAGATGAGCCTTTAAAAGCCTTACTTTTCAATTTTTTAAAAATTTTTTGTAAAATTGTAAGACGAGGAGCACCTGCTTCTCCAGAATATAGATATTATGGGTAGCAAATTAGATGTGGCTAGGGACTGTATTCATTTTCTTATCATGAATAAAAAATTATAATTGTTTTGAGCTGGTAAAATTTAGGGGAAATATGGTAGCTACATTGTTAGCAAACCTTGAGAGAAGCATGATATTATTATAGAATGGAACTGTTTTCTTAATAAATATCCTCCACACAGGGCAGGTATTTTTTTATGGCCTCTAGAAATTTGTTTTAACTCCTCCTTCCTCTGGTTAAATATTGATGTTTAAAGGGATTTGATATTTCATTTATGTGGAAAATATTGCCTTTTAAAAAAAATTATTGTAAAGGCGGATATACAGATAGGAGAGAAATACTGCTTTTGATATGTTTGTTTTTGTCATTTAAAATAAATGAGTTGTTGCATACTCTTCAGTGATTTTTGTTGGGTATTTAACTTGCACTGATTTCTTATGAAATTTTCTCTGTATTCCTCTTACTTTATCATATAAACTAAAGAGGACACATAAAAGAAAACAATGTAGTAAGAATATTTATTTGTAGAAAGTACACACGGACGTTGATTTTCTCTCTGCTGGATTACTCCTCAGAGGACTGCAGTGGCTGGAATTGGAGCATCCTCCAATTGGAGCATCTGTGGATGCAAGGCCAAAGTACTTGGCCATCGTATGCTATTTTCCCAGGTGTATTATTGGGGAGCTATATTGGCAGTGGAGCAGCTGGGACTTGAACTGACTCCCATATGGGATTCTGGTACTGGAGGCAGTGGGTTAATGTGCCATGCCATAGCACTTGCACAACTTCATTTCTTTTAAAAGACAGACAAACCATTTCTTAGTCTTTTGAAGATTTAATTTTTATGGTTTGACTGATAATCAGTAATATACTGTAATACACTTTGATTTACTTTGAAGTATGTTTTGTTTTAACTTCTTTTTATTATTATGATCATTTTATGGAACAGTTCCATAGGCCCTGGAACTTCCCTTATACTTTCTGCAAGTCCACTCTCTCCCTGCCCACACTGAGTTGCCCTATATTATTACTATAACATAGTTCTTCATAGACAGTCATATGTCCATCATTGCAGGCATGGACAATGGCAGAGAATCCAGCATTCCATTGTCAACATATAATTAAAACTTTCGTTGGGAGTCCATCTTTGATCTGGAAATAGAGATGTATACTGCATTGTATTCTCATATCTGGATATGATAATTTCTATGACACATCCCCTTAAATGAAATGCCACAATACAAAATCAACAAAAGGAAGAAAATAGAAATTTAAAACACCATGAAATTAAATAACATGCTACTGGGTATGCTAGTCTCGATTACACAGTTACTGTACATCCCCTTAAATGAAAAACCACAAAACAAAATCAACAACAGGAAGAAAAATAAAAATTAAAAATGCCATAAAGTTAAATAACATGCTAGTGACTGACTAATGTGTCTCTGAAGAAATGAAAAAGAAAATCAAGAATTTTCTTAAAGAAAATGATGCTGCTCAGTGAAGAATTTAATGAGAAATGTTTTGAAGAGATGAAACAAACAAAAAAAAACACATCAAAATGCAAGAAATATAGTTTCTGCTGATCTTTGTTGGTGAGATGTGTCTTTTGTAGGCAACAAATAGATGGGCTTTGCTTTTTAATCCAGTCTACTTATCTATGACATTGGATTGATGGTTAATCAGGTTAATATAAATGGGTAGTATATTACCGTGTAGACAATTATATTTCAGGAATTCTGCAAAGATCATTTCATATCAATGAAGCATTTAGATTTAAGAACTAGCTGAATTATATACATACATATGTAATGTGTCATGAATTTATTAGCAGGGTGATTGTATAATTTGTGATATTCCATTTTTAAAATATAAATGTTTATTGATACAACTTAATGTTTTTTGATATTTGTCATATTATTTCTTGAATGTAAAAGGCTTTATTAATTCACTAAATATACATCAATAATCATGAATATATTTTTTTCATTTTACTTGTTTGAAAGAGTGAGGGAGGGAGAGAGATCTTCCAGCCTTTGTTTCACTCCTCAAATGACTAAAACTTTCAGAGCAGAACTGAGTTAAAGCCAGGAGCCAGGAGTTTCAACTGAGTCTCAACATGTGTGTGCAGAGGTCAAACACTTGTTACATTCTCAGATCATTAGCAAAAAACTGGGTCAAAAATGTAATAATCAGGAATTGAACTACTGCTCATATTGCCCATATTGGCATCACATATTAGCAATTTAAACTGTCATGCCATGATACTCACGTAGACATATTGTCAAGATCAACTTTTGACTGGCAGAAATTTTACACCTACGAATATATTTGTATATGTGTATGGGTTTGTATATGTGCATAAGTATTTGTTTTAATACACTGAAACTATTAGTTCAGAAGATAATATACTGCATTTTTATTTGTGTATATTTTTATTCTGCCATATGTTTACATAATTTATAGATTGTGTAAAGAGCTGGACCCAAGAGCTAAATTATGAATTTCAACAGTTATGTTCTTTGAAAATGTGTTATTGCTTTATTTTTTAAAGCTTTATTTATTTGAAAGAAAAAATGACAGAGAAGGAATATAAACAGTTGTTTTAATCCACCAGTCACCTCCCCAAGTGGTCATAAAGTCTAGGGTTCCACGAGGCGAATGCCGGGAGCCTGGATCTCACCCTGGTCCATGCAAGCATGGCAGGAGTTCCAGCTCTTGGGCCATCTTCTGCTTCTTTCCCAGGTGAATTCAAAAAGAACTGGAGAGGAAATGGAACAATCAAAACTTGAAGTGCCACTCCAATATGGGAGGCTGGTCACAACTGAAAATATTTTAACAGTATCTTTTAATTTTTATTTTTTTAATGGCAGATCAGATTTATGGAAAGGAGGAGAGGCAGAGATAAAAGGGATAAAATATTTTAATCATGCAGAGTGTTATCCATGTTTTGTGAAGTTCTGATACATGACAGTGTTTAACTGATTTTTCCTATTGTTTCAATATATTTAAAGGTATTCAAGCTTTACCATGAGTGTCTATGAATATATTATGACTTAAGAATAGGAAAAATCCATTAATTAAGTAAGGGCTGTTTATATAAAGCCCAGCTTATTACTTATGTCTGGCTTCTTTGATTTTCAAAATAAAATTCAGAAATCATCCAATAATATGATCCACCCATGATATGATTTTACCTTTTAATAAATTTTATTTCTCTTCAAATTGGAAAATTAAACCTGAAGCATGTAAGATTTATGGAGGAAACCTAAGTTCAAACATATTTATTCATTATGTTTTATATGAAATTATATGTAAATAGAGAACAAATTTTTTTATTAATTACACTGCACCACACAGTTTTATAGGCACTGGAATTCCCCCCACCCCTCTCCAAACCCTCCCTCCATGGTGGATTCCTCCACCTTGCTGCATTGCCACTGTTCAAGTTCAGTTGAGATTCTTTCATTGTAAGCATATACCAAGCATCGTGTCCAGTAACTTATTGTTCAAATAAGTTCAATGGCTTCTTGGGTAGACCATCCCTGGTCTGAAGGTAAAGCTAACAGAGTATCATCCCAATCAATTAAAAGCCCCAACATAACATCAGCAACAAATTATAATGCTATGGAATTAGTGGACATAATATTGAGTAACCAATATGTTAAAAAAATTGCAAATTCTTAACCACATCCTGTGACTTCTTCATTAACATTTCGATAGAAAAAATATTTTGGTGTGACCTTTAGATAAACTGTCAATACATTATTTATGTAGTTGCCAGAAAGATAATTTCAAGGAATTGTTTAAATGTGTTTTTTAATTCAGTAATAACAATTACATGTTCATTTATAATTGTTCTATTGAATAAAATATATCAATAAGGCATGTATCCCCCTTTTTTTATTTACCTAATTTGAACTACACCATGCTTGCATTTTCTTTTAGAGTTCAAGCTCAGTCACTTTTGGTATCACCTAGGAGCATCCACAGTTGTGATTATCAGTTTGAGTTTTGAAAGCTGCATCTTAATGGACACACATTAAAAGATACTCCAGGTGATATATATTAAGCCCAACAATCTCTAGTGTGGCATGCTTCCAAATTTTTTTATTCTGTACTTTGATTTTGGCAATAATGAGAGGTTTGTAATGCATGTGCTTATAATGTATTACAAAAAGTGAATCTTTGATGCCCAAATTGGTATTTTGTGATTAGGCTAAGCAAAAAATGAAAGTTGGGGGAGGAGCTTATCAGTTGTATCTTGATAAAAAAAAAAGTCCCAACACCTTTTTGCTTTAAAATCACAAAATATTGAAGATGGAGTTATTTGCACAAGTTTTCACGCCATACTTGGGACTGTTGTGCTTGAATATATCCTTGCATTCGTTTTTCATTAATATAATTGATCTATAGTTGCATTTTTTTTTTGCCAGAGGCGTATGTGAATGTTCTAACTGCATGAGTTCTTTTGCAATTTTTGATTAGTGTGTTTTGTCAAAATGAGAGCATTTAATTTGGGTTGTGAGTAATTAGCATTTTTGTTCTTTTAGAAGTGATTGCTAATTTTTTATGAGAATAATGAAAAATTGGGAAAAGGAAAGAAAGTTCAATGAGGTTGCTTCAGTTTGAGAGCAACTTAGCTATCTGTACTTTGTTTCAAGAAATGGAGTATGCAGGTCAATATTTGAAACTGCTTTTTATTGTAGGAATGATTGTGTTCTGTCTTTCATTATCAAAGTATGATGTTCAGCTGCTGTTTGTCTACTAAGTTTTATGTTTATGTATTAGGATTTAAAAGAAAAAGAAAATGATGAGCTCGACATTCAGTTGAAAGTATTTGATGAGAACAAAGAGGATGATTTAACTGAATTATCACACCGTCTCAATGACATTCGAGCTGAAATGGAATATCCTTTGACAAATCACACAAATACTTTTCTGTGTTGTGAAAAAAAATTGTGGGTGATTGGTGCAGAATGATTAGAGTTTTTGTCAGCCAGCCCAATTTATATCCATTTATTACAGTAGAATTTCACTACACTGTTGTCCTTGAAAATTCATGCTGAACAATTGTCAGATTGCTGCAATGATTTACACAGACTGTGTTGAAATCTGCATATTGGTTCACTGGATTGTAGTTGTATACTCCTCTGTGATCCTGTGTTAATTGAGAGCCTCGGGCAGTGTGTCATGCATGTAAGAATAGGGAAACTTCCCTGTGACTTTAGACACATAAATTTTCAGTATACTAAATGATACTCTATTTAGAGATATGATTCAACCAAGGTTGTGTTGTGGAAAAAACAGTATACAATTTTCCTATGGCAGTGATTTCATAGGAAATGATTTCTAATCTAAGAGATGGGCATAGCATTCTCAGCCATGTGTTTCATGCCCATTAAGTATTTTTTTTTACAGATTCCGGAGAAACCAGCAAGCGTTGCAGAACCAAAGTGACCTTTGAGCTGGACTTTTTCTCCATGATGTGTTCATTCTACATCCCTTTATTTCCTCCACCCTTGCAAGGTGGAAGTGATATTCCCTTCCTTGAGACTCCCACAGTACTTTGTTTGTTCTATCCTATTTATGTACACTTCTCTGCCCCTGTGAGATTGAGGGCAGAAATGTTATATTTCAAGCTTTTCTTCTAATGTACCTATAGATTGCCCTTACGTGAAGGTATTGGTAAATGTGTGTGCAATGAGTAAATGGTTTTGTTATTAGAAATGAGAAATGACTTCAAGTAATTTCTTATCAATCACTATTCCAAAAATCTGCAATGGCTTCTCTAATATTAATAATTCTGGTACAAGTTATAAATACATTGCTTTGTATTTATCTTTCTCACAATCAGCCTCACCATAAAGCTTGTTTCAAATCTACTCTGTAGCTAATTAAGGGATGCTTTGCAACTTAATTCCACATTCTTAGATGCAGTGTAAAAAGTAAGCTATCTTCTTCCTCAGAGAAAATGGTGACATTTCAGGTTACTTTTAGGAAGTTTAATTTCATCTTATCTCTGTTTTACATCAATTTTCTAGGCCCTTTTCTTTTAAAAGCAAACCTATTTTTGATGTATATTTTCTATGTTACTAAAAGCATGTACACTTTCTTTTTTGTTAATATTTTATTGTACAGTTCTGTAGGCTCTGAGATTTCCCTTACCCCTTTTCCAATCCAGCCTCCCCCGATTTCCTCAATATTATTACAATAGTATAGTCCTTCATAAGCTGTCTTAAGTCCATCATTCTGCTCTTTAAATGTGTCGTGACATTGTAGGTATGAACAATAGCAGAGAGTACAGCAGCCTATTGTCAAAACATATTTAACAGTTTCATTGGGAGTCTGTGTTTGATTTCAAAGTAGAAAAAGCATCTACTTTTGTATCACTCTGTTTCATATTCTTAGAACAATACATTTCAATCCTGTTGTCTTTACCCTCCATCTTTTATTAAATAATGAAAAAGAAATAAATTAAGCAGCAATAATTTTAAGGTTAGTATTTATTTCATCGAGTTGAAATAAAACAATTTTTGTTAATATTTTTAATCAGTTCATAATGTACATGTTTGTCTTTATCTTATATGGTGGAGAAAGTATAAACATGATGATTTGCATGAGTAATGTGAGAAATCTTCATGGAAAAATGAAATTAAGGAACTGGAGTTATAAGTAGCTGCTTAAGCTATTGCTTGCAATGCAAGCATCATATTATTAAAGTACAGTTAAATTTCTGGCTGCCCTGTAACCTGTCTCAACTCCTGTTAATGTGCCTGGGAAGGCAAGGGAGCATGGTATAAATATTTGGGCATCTTCCACTTACGTTGGAAACCCTGGTGGAATTCTGTGGTACTAGTTTTGACCTGACCTAGCTTTAGCTGTAGGGCCATTTGGAGAGTGATCCAGTGGATTGAATATCTTTTAGTTCCTCTCTCCCCATCACTGTGGTTTTCAAATAAATAGATCAGATATCTTTTTTTAAATGAGAAAGCCCCAATTGAGGGCAATAGTAGTGGCCTGTACTTGGGCTATGTGTAGTAGAATGAAGATTAGAATTCTTAGAAGAGGAAACACTAAAAAAAAAAAAAAAAAAAAAAAAAAAAAAAAAGAAAAAAAAACTAGATTAAAAGTTTAAATTGGTGCAAAAAAAATTTTTGAGATTCAAGAGATTTTTTTTCCAGAAGGTTTTTGCATTTTCCACTGGGAGTGTTTGAATGCCCTTTGTCTAACTCCTTCATTGCCACCCCAGGGAGATCAAGAGAAAACCATATACCCTGATGCCATTGTTATTCTACTGGTACTAGTTACATTTTTCCTTTGAGATATAATGAATAACTCATCACTTAAAGTGTTGATAGTACCATGGTCTTGTAAATGATTTTTTTTTTAGTATGTTTCTCTGGTTAACTATTGAATTACGTCCATGGAATCATTTTCTTTATGTAAATGTTTAAATGCTGGGTCATGGAGTTGAAGGCTATGAAACAATAACAGAAACAAAATAATAATGCTGAATTTGAAAAAATTAAAGTGTTTTTGTTGTTCATGAGTCTTTCATCAGAAATCTCTGATTTTATTTTTCCTTTACTTAACTTTCTACTGATATGAATGAAGTATACCATCTTCTTTATAATATGTTGAAGGACACTGCTGCTGAAAATTACTTGTTATCCATTCTGCAACATTTTTTGCTCATCAGAAATGATTATTATGTCAGGTAAGAGTTTTGGAGAGTAAAATATGTATTATTTGAATTCTATATTAAAGGAAATGTCATAGTGTGGTGGTGTTCAGATATGTATGCTTACATAGGGTGCGAGAGTGTAACTACTTTAAGGGACTTTTTAAAAAAGGTGTTAGTTTATTTTTAAACATGGTACAAGGGAGATCTACTCATTAAAATGTGGTATATCAGTGATAAGATTGTTACTATTAATAAAACCAACAGATACTACTGACCCTGGGATAAATTTTCTTTGCTATATAGTAGAAGCACAGAGCAAGCACTAAAATTTTAGGATAGAGCTTTTTAAGTTTTTGTCCATTTTAATATGAAATATTTTTCTGTTATTTCTACCATGTAGTATTATATGGTAATAATTTTAACATTTAAGAAAATAGCAGTGCTAGTGTTTTGGTTTTTTGTTCAGTAATATATTTTTCCAAAATAAATAATGGTGACAATAACATATATGGTTAAAGCTTTTAAAATCTAGAAACTAGGTATATACTTGAAAACCAAAATTTTATAAAGGCATTTTTTAAATTGTGAAATTATTTTCAGGCTATTGATATAATATTTTTATTCAAAAATTCTTAGTCATTTTTATAATCTAATTTGCATGAAGTTATAACAACTCTGATTTCTCAGAAACTTGCTTAATAGAAAGAGACAATCAGGCATAGTCACAACAAAAATGAGAAGTCTAGTCGACACAAAGTTGGAGAAATGTTATAATTTAGATGGTATAGTAATTTCATGGGCATCATGTTACAGAGACGGTAAATGTAAGCATATTAAATTGTAGGCTTTTAAAAATCAGTGAAATTAAAAAAAACCATTTAATGCATTAAAATGGTTGCTGTTTTCTAAATTTAGCTCTCATAATTAATGTGTACAGTAAAGATATACTACATAGCAAATATTACTCAATTGCCTACTAGCATCATTTGAGTGAAACAATGAATGAAGTGAAACTCACATTGCATCCTATGCATCCGAAGACATCCATATATTTGTTCTTATTTGGAGAAGCCATTCCATGAGTAAGGACATATAAGAGCAATTAGAATTTGTGTGACTTTGTATTTAAACTTATATAAATTGGCTAGTTATCAACACTGTGTATAGGTGTAATTGCATCCTAACTTAGCTACAATAGTATTTTTCTGTATTGAGCTGTTATGAAAGTCATCTTCAAATTTTAATGGAAAGAACATCTTTAAAAATTTTGTTGCATTATGTGAATGGTCATCTTTAAGGCCAGAATTAACTTAATAAACTGTACCATTAAGATGTTTTAAAATATTTTTCCGTTTAAACAATTATGGTCATACTTATTAACTGAGCATATGTATATATATTTTGATCATGAATCATTAAATTTATGTTTCATAAGTCAATATTCTGAATAGTTTTTAGCATAAAGGGCTCATTTCAATTTTGTAATCTGTTGTCTACGAAAGTTTTGTAGGAAATTTAGGATGTTGCTTGCCAAACTCAACTCTTACAAAAACTGAGAACTTGTAGATTTTTATGGCCTTGTTCATACCGAGGATACTAGCCTAATGGGTCATTTATTTTCTACAACTGTGGAAACAACAACTTATGTAAAGAGATTATGTTGATTAATACTTTAGGTACAAACATGAATCCGAAAGTCACTAAACATTGGCAGTTCATTACATTATAAGGAATTTTCCAATATAAAATCTACACCAAGTTTGAGCTTAGAATTTTTTTTTTCCCTATGGGAGTATAATGAGTAGAAGTATCTTTTACATCTCTAGGAAAATACTCAGTGCTTTTGGCATACCAAATCCCTTCTTAACAAAACTGATGTGTTTAGATATAAAAGTTATTCACAAATATTTCCATTTCTTTCAGGCCACAATATTATAAAATAATTGAGGAGTGTGTTTCACAGATAGTGCTGCATTGCAGTGGTATGGATCCAGACTTCAAGTATAGGCAAAGATTAGACATTGATTTAACCCATCTGATAGGTATGTAACACACATCTCACTATTGTTTGTATCTTATACCTTCTGGTTAAACTGTATCCTTTAAAGGTAGGTCTCTCATTGAACTTGTGATCATATCTGGTGATACATTATGTCATGGGTCCTCAAAATGATTGTGATAGTTTTGCCTGCATGGTTCTAAATATAAACCTATTTGGTATTTTTGAATTTTACCTCAACTTTCACTGGTACCTTAGGAGAGCTGTAGAAAGTACATGTTTAGTAGGGCCTCATCAGTACCACAACTTCATTATTAGTGCTTTTCTTTAAGGCAATTCTTCTCAGATCTGTCTCTGAAGAAGAATGTAAAAGCTTTCTTGTTAAGTACATTATGCTATATGTCTTCATAGTGCTAGGCAGGATTATTTTTGCCTGGCTTTTTGAATATCTGGGCCAATGATGTATCAATTTTGGTTATTCATTTATTTGCAAAACCAGCTGTCATTTCACTGATCCTTTTTATTTTATTTCACTTTCAGGTAATCTTCAATTTTTGTCATTTCCTTTTTTTTAAGACTCAAATCAGTGATCCTTTATTGCATTGCTAAAATGCTATTAAGTCGCAATTTGTTTCTTGCTTCTGTAGCTGAACAAATTTTACATCTTATTCATCACCTGCCCAACTACTCCTTCAAGCCTTTCCTGATGTCCTGGTTTCTAACTATTGTTGTCTGCTCATTCAAATCAGCTGATTTTGAAACAAGTTCAGTGTGCTTTCCTTCAAGGAATATGTCGTGTTTCTTGGCTTGAGATGTTGACCAAGCAGCAATTGGTCTCATCTAAATACTTTGGCTGTACTATTTATCCTAGAAATCTTGGATTTCAACAATAGACCCATTTCCCTGATGCAAAGAGAATATATAATGACTTCATCTTGGCTTTTTTTTTTGAGATTTATATTATTTTTATTAGAAAGTCAGATATACAGAGAGGAGGAGAGAAAGAGAAGATCATCTTCCATCCACTGATTCACTCTTCAATAGGCTGCAAAGGCTGGAGCTGAGCTCAACCAAAGCCAGCAACTAGGAGCCTCTTCTAGGTCTCCCACGTGGGTGCAGGGTCACAAGGCTTTCCCAGGCCACAAGCCTTATGCATATAGCATCCCTGTGACTGTGAACAAGTTTTCACAAGTTACTTTTTTTTTTTAGACTTCAGTTTCTTCAAGTTTAAAAATTGATTCAAATATATGCTCAGATTTATTTTTGAGAAACTGCAGAACACCTTGAAGCTTTTGTTGGAATATGTGTGCATCTGCATACACACACACACACTCACACACACACACTCACACATATATAACAAAATTATCAAATATTTGAAGATCTTCCAAGTGATCTTTGGATCTCTGTTTTGTTTTTGTGGCCCTGAGGATATTAGAATATCTCTTGATTCCACAATTTTGTAAGTCTAGTATCTAATATCAGTGCCTTGCTTTAAAAGTTTCTAGTATCTTTCCACTCAAGTTGAAATTCAAAGCTTTACCAGCATAACTCTCATCGAAGTGGCTCCATTTCACTTCATCGCCTTACACATTCTGCTTCTGTTCCTATGCCCTAGCCATACATTAAAAAACAAAATAAATGCTTCACTGGTGCAAGTGACCATTACTCTTTAAAATATGTGCATTCTCTCTCAGTTTCTGCTTCCCATGTTTCTCTTTCTTGAGACAGCCACTTAGTTTTCTTTCTGGTTTCATTTTTATCATTTCTCTCTTAGTAGTTCCATTTGTAAAGATTTTGTGTTAGTAGAAGTATGTAGCATGTGCTCTCTTTTTGTCTGCTTTCATTAAGCGTGCTTATTCTTTGGTTTCCTGTGCCATTCTGCTATATGCAATAATATTTGCATTCCTCTACAGAATTTATACTTTTTGATAGTCATTGGGATCTTTGATTGTTTTTGGTTATTACAAACTTTTGTGAACATTTGAATACAAGTTTGTATGGATATATATTTTCACTTCTTTGGAGTAAATAAGTAGATGTGGAATGGCTAGCTACAAGATGGACTTTATATGTGATATTGGGAGTTGCAAATATTGCAAGAAAGAGGCTATTAAATTATTTGTATTGGGAAGTGTTTGATAAGATTTATGTAGTTTGAATATTGTTCCCTTATACAATATAAGGTTAGAAGTGAAATCTTTTACTTGTGTGCCTAAGTTAATGAGCTTCTCTTTTATTGCCCCCTCTCTTTTAAAAAGGATTTTATTGAATCTTAATAATCTTAAGTATATACTATTTTTCACCTATTTACTCACAATACAGTCAACTTTTAAAAGAATTGGGTCAATGTAAAAGTTGGAAAAGAATTATGCATATTTAAAGCAAAGATCACTTAATGAAATGTATTTAGGTATGCTTGGTTTTGTGCCTCAATAGTCTTATTGTGGAGTTAAGTTAGTATGATAGAGATAAAAGATTAAGAAAATGTCACATTTTATGTTTTATTTGTAGTATAGATCATTTTGTTTTAATACCAATTGACATAGAAATGCTAATCAACCTATTTCTATGGGCTTGCATCCATCTTTTGCCTAGGGAAATCATGCTATAATTTGTAATCTCTTTTGATTAATCTCAACAGATTCTTGTGTGAACAAAGCGAAAGTTGAAGAAAGTGAGCAAAAAGCAGTGGAATTCTCAAAAAAGGTAAAGCTTATAAAATGCATGTTACTGCTACTTTAGTAATTTGATCACAAATTTTTTCTCTTATTTCATTATGGAAAGCTTTATAAATGTTGTTTTTATTATGCAGTACCTTCTATTTCTAAATTCAAATCTGAGAGGATATTGATTTATATCCTAGTAAGTCATAAGTACCATTATTTTTCTTCATAAGTTTTAATGTATTATAGAGGAAAAATAATGAATGAAATAAAATCAGGTGGCCTAAAAGATATATTTAGAAGCAGTCATCCAAAGCAAATTCCCCTTATTTCTGTCCTATAGGTTTCACTTATTTAAACTAGGTATCTGTTGTGAGATTTATGAGATTTTTAGAAAGTCTTCTTAGCCATTATGGTCTTTAGGGTTCACGAAGTTGATAGCGGTGGGTGGAATGTCCCAGTGGTCTTTCTCTGTATGTGTCTTGGTTAGACATAAGCATCTTTGAATTTTGTGGTGGCATCTTCCAAATATTGTGGCTACATCTTATATGTTTACTGGAATTTGAGGTTTGTCATTCTCTGTGTTTAATACCTTACATACTTGAATATCATAGTTTTATTTAGTTCTGTCTGTTGAGATTGTCTGTTGCTGTCCCGCAGCGATGGACTTGGTGCACGGAGCCGATAATAACACGCGTGGACCCTGATTGATGGTCAAAGCTGAAGTTTATTAGGGGCATCAGACTTTCCCTCTCTTGATTGGAATTCCTTTTGTTTTGTATATTGCGCCAGATGTTCTCATTTACATGCTGTTTATACCAAAGGTAGCCATTTGGTTGTTGTCTTGCAAATACTGTCCAATGAACTGCAAACCTGTGCTTGCTGACCTTCCAGGGTCACAATGTCCTCCTACAATTGTCTGTTTGTTTTTTTTTTTTGGTTCATGAAAGCATAGCTACAATTTTATTAATTTCTACTAGAAATTTATTTTTTTGTTCTAGTTCCTATTAAACATTTGTATAGTATTTCTCTCCTGTTGTGTGCAGGGAGGATTGAAGCAGAAGCTCTCGTTTTCAGCCTTCTGACAGCAAGATAAAGTGCTTACATATTGTTGTCTCTTCAAAGTTATGACTTACCTTGGAGATTAGATAATCACTTTTGCTATCACTCTGGAAATTACAGAGTTACTTCGGGGCATCTGAAGAAATGTCTTTGCTCTTTCAGTTACTAGAATAGATTTTAAGAGCTTGGGGTTGAGTATAAAATGTTTGTGTGAAACTCATTTTATGACAGTTGCTTTTTGATTAATAAGCCTTTATACTTCTTAACGATTTTATTTTAAATAACGTTTAAAATTCCCTTTGAAAATCACAAGGTCTCCATAATTTTGGCTACTACTATAAATAAATACCACAAGAATGGAGCAGATTGTGATTTTCTAGTTAGATTTTCTGTAAGCATATATATTATGGGCAAAAGAGTCTGAAATTATAGAAAAGAAATTTCATCGTCAACATTTAAAAGGAATGGAAAAACATGTTTGGTCTCCTAGTGGTTAACTATAATCAGTTTATTTTTAAAATTATTTTTATTATTTTTCTTGATATAATTGTAGGTATGGGGATCCCACCTTTTCCCCCTCCTCTCTCCATATCTTACCTTTTCTTCATTTCCCCCATATTACCACATTTGTATAATCCTTCAGCAACAGTTACAATTCTATCATTGTGCTGTTCAAGTGCATTATGACTTTGTCGTTCTAGGCAAAGATAGAAAATCTAGTATCATACTGTCGAGGTATATTTAACTAGTTCACAGGGAGTCTATAGGTAGCAGAAAATAGTTTCTTAGGTGCTAGTATGACAGACAATACTTTTAGGTGTGATTTTAGCTTTTCCACTAATTAGCTGTGGCTTTTAAATAAGCCACTTACTCTCCTTGAACCTTGGTTTCACACAGGATAAAATTAGTGGGCTCACAAAAAGACCTCTTCCAGCTCATATATTTTAGGATTTGACTGCTTTTCTATGTGTTTATAGGTTAATATAATTTTTACTTAAAGTGGGAAATATTTTGTCCTTCTTTTCAAATATACCAATAAATCATTTATATAGCCTAAGTTGAATGTGTTATGCTTTTGTGGAGACCATATTTGAGAAGCACACAGGAGATGCTACCTTTGGGAGGAAAAATAGATATAAAGATTCAGATGGGTATTGGTACTGTTAGTAGTGAAGTCCAGCATGCCTACATTGGAGGAGCTCCATATTTTTAATTAACTAGGAAAAAAAGCATTATCTGAAATATCAATGTATCTTTCTTCCCAGGAATCTAGGGTGGATTTGAAATACAAGAAAATTGGAGAAGGTTAGGATCAAATTCTAAGAGACATTTTCAAGAGACTCAAGTGCAGATAAATGAAGAAAAGTGTTACTAAGTAATCTTGCAGATTTGAACCAAATGATATCCAGTTTTTCTCTGCTACATTTTTGCAGATATCAAATGTCAAATGTACCATGAGCATAAGCAGTTATTTATAATGAACATACTTTTTATGTTCTAAAGACAGTTCTGGACAGTTATATACATATGCCAATTATAAATGGAAATGCTATTTGTACAATAATGTACAAGCTCCCAAAAATGACTTGAAGTGAGACTGACATTAGTGGGGCAAATAAAAGGTTTTATTCTTAGTTGTAAATATGTAGGCTAGTTAGCGCCTGCTTCACACAGACCCTGACTTAAGAAATGTCTGGGGCAGGAGGCACTAAATGAATGTTCACCATTCAGATAATCTCTTAACTTAGTGCACTTTATTTTAATCTCTTATTTTCACTCTCCTAATATGCTATAATTATCTGGGTGATATATATATATATATATATAATATATATATATTATATATTATATATATTATATTATATATTATATATTATATATTATATATTATATATTATATTATATTATATATATTATTATTTTATATTTAATATTTATATTTAATATTATTATTATATTATATTATATTATATTATATTATATTATATATAATATATATTATAATATATATTATATATTATATATTATATTATATATTATATATTATATATTATATATTATATATATATAATATATATATCACCCAGATAATTATATATATATATCATATATATATATGTATATATATATATATATATATATGAAGGAATGTGCCATAATAGCATATATCATTCTGTCAGATTTTGTGGAACACCACTTTTTGGATACTAGACAAGTAACACTGTAATAGAAGCATTCTATTTGTAATAATGTACATTCACTTGTGCATTATCAAAGTACAAATCTCTGCAAGGTTAGCCATACTGAAACAGAAACTGCTTGACAGCATATTTTTATATTTCATTTTCTAATTCATTTAATTAAAAATATAGGATGGAGCATTTCCAAATTAGTAAATCTGAAACTGAGTATCAAATGAAAATTAAAATATTCATTTGCCTGAAGAGAGACTTCACATTTTCTTTATATTTTTTTTTTCATAATTCAAATGGATTTACCCACCTTGGGCAGTGGGGTGGAGCAGTGCATAGGTGTAATTCTTCTTTATACCATTATTATCCAAAGCAATTATAACCCACATGTAAATACTTACTTGTCATTAAAATAAGCAAGTACTCTGATATTCTGAGTGACCTGGGAATTCAACTAAGCAAAAAATCATTCCAGGTATTTGCCACATAATATGGTTTAAAGCTTTCTCAAAACTATATTACTAACTGTATGTTTATGCTGGTGATCATTGCAGTTCGATGAAGAATTCACAGCTCGACAGGAAGCTCAAGCTGAGCTTCAAAAAAGAGAAGAAAAAATCAAAGAACTTGAAACAGAAATCCAGCAACTTCGAACCCAGGTAATGAAACAAGATATAGACTTTGTGTCATGTCATAGTGAGTTCGATGGTAGAAAATTATCCTGTTACATAGAAGGAAAGATGTGACTAGAAGCAGACTTTTTGGCAGTTTCACATTTTAGATGAAATAAGTGCAGGTTTGATTTTCCAGGAAAATAAATCATTTTAATGTTTGAAGAAATATAAAACATTAGTTGTTGAAGAAGCCCTGAATATTTTAAACAGAGTGTTATAACACCAACAAAATTATTTTTTGAGATTAAATTTTCATGATTTGAAAAATGGGTATATCATATTTTCTTTCAAAAAGAATATGGAACTGCTCATTAATTTTGATTATCCCTAAGTATTTTGAGGTATCTTTAAATCTTGACTAACATTTCAAAATTGTGAACTTTACATTTCTACCTACATTGCCTGTGATGCAAAGCTCATGTATATACTTTAAATCTTGCAGTCTCTAAACTTTAGAACTGATTTAGTACTCCCCTCAACACGCTTTACATCCCGAATTAATTTTATGAAATTGAAAATGATGTTTTAACATATTGAATACTCAAATGATGTTTATTTTTGACTAGATCTATTCCATGAATTCACTGAAAAAATTACCTCCAAGGTCATCAGTAAAGTCTAATCAGTGTGGTGACCTTTTCCTTCCCTCTGCTTTCATCACTTAACTAGTATTTGATAATTTGTTAATGAGTGTTTGTTTCTGAATCTTCTGCCTCCCCCTTGTAAATGTTTGAATACTAATAATCCATTTTATATCATACATTCACATACCATGTCTTAGATGACATGTTCTCGAGCTTATTTATGAATGTTGAGGTCAAAATCAGTATTTGTGGGTCTCCTCTTTTCCTCAAGCCAGCTTGGTCTCTCCCTCTTTTTCTTCCTTCCTTTCTCTCTTTTCTTCTCTCTCTCTCTCTCTCTCTCCCCTCCTTCCTTCCTTCCTTTTTATTTTAAGATAGTGAAGCTGGATTTTTCTTTCCTTGATGGTTTTTCCACCCCCGTACAGATTAGGCTGATCACTCCTTTATGTGAATCATTTCTCTGATGTTTGCCCTGTTTGCATCAACAGCCAGAACCCCTGTTCTCTTGTTACAGCTTGCCTAAGCTCTGTCAATTGTTTCCTGCCTTTTCTGCCTATAGTGTTTTCTTCCTCAAATTTATCCTTTATGTCAGTGGCAAATTAATCTTCCTAAAACACTGCCCTGATTATTGTCACTCCAGGCTTTAATATGTTCAGTGGCTTCCTGTTGCAGTCCGGATTAAATAAAATCTGCTTACCAGGCATGTTAAGGCCTTCTGGCATGGGCGCCTTATCTCCCCTTTGCAGCCTGGGCTCTGACTGCTCCCCTCTATGCAGCCTCTGTTGCACAGAAGGCACCTTATTGCCATTTATATTTCACAACTTACTCTTTCTACACTTGGCCTCTGCCAGCTTCTCCCAGACATTAGTTACGCAAATGCAAATTTATTTGGGGAGGAAAACATTTGTGGGCACATGGGAATTTCATCCTCTTAGAGATTCATGATACTCCTTAGCATGTTGAAGGGTCTGAGATGTCCTCCACGTTAGAAACCTATCTAAATGTGTCTCATATAACTTTCCTTTTCTCATTTGACCATGGAATGATTTATCACAGAATACCTATCATCATCTCCCAGAAATTGTATTTTAATGGAGCGTATTTGAAAAAAGTTTGCCGTAGGTCTTTTTTCTGCTCATCTATGCATGTTATATATGTTCATTTTTAAAAAAAGTCTATTCATTTGAACGACAGTGTTAGAGAGGAAGTGATAGGCATCTTCAATCGGCTGGTTCACTCCCTTTATGCATGCAGTTGTCTGGTCCTGGCTAAGCCCAAGCCAGATGCCAGGAGCTGCCACAATTCCCAAGTGGGTGCAGGACCCCAAGGACTTGGGACATCTCTGCCTTTCCCAGGTGTGCATCAGCATGGAGCTGGATAGGAACTGCAGCAGCCAGGACTCGAACCAGCACCCACCCATGTAGGCTGGGCATTGCAGACAGTGCAGTCCTGTAAGAAGGTCAGGAAGACATCCTTTGGACTGCATCATCAAAAACTCCATTAGGGAAATTGTCTTAACTTCAAAAATGTTTTTGGGCAACTAATACTATTTTTGTTTCTGTGTCCCCTTTATTTTCTTCCCTTAAACATAAGCACTGAAGGACAGATTGTGAGGAGTACTTCAAAAAGTTCACTAAACTAAAATTCATCTTCGGGGAAATGTAGTGGCATAATTGGTAAAGCCACCCACTACCTGTGATGCCAATGTCACATGTGGGTGCAAGTTTGAAGCCATTTCTGATCCAGCACCCTGCTTAATGTACCTGGGAAAGCAGTTGAAGATGGGCCAAGTCCTTGGGCCTCAGCATCCATGTGGGAAACATGGATGAAGTTCTTGGGTCCCAGCTTCTGCCTAGCAGAGTCCTGGCCGCTGTAGCCATTTGGGGAATAAAACAGCAGAGGGAAGATCTCTTTGTTTCTCCATAAGTCTGCCTTTCAAGTAAATTTAAAAAAAAAAAAACTTTTTAAAGAAATGTGATTTAGGGGCTTGGCGCCCTGGCCTAGTGGCTAAATCCTTGCATTGCACACACTGGGATCCCATATGGTTGCCGGTTCTAATCCCAGCAGCTCCATTTCCCATCCAGCTCCCTGCTTGTGACTTGGGAAAGCAGTCAAGGACGGCCCAATTCTTTGGGATCCTGCACCTGTGTGGGAGACCTGATAAAGTTCCTGGCTCCTGACTTCGGATCAGCAGAGCTCCAGCTGTTGTGGTACCTTGGGGAGTGAATCATCAGATGGACGATCTTTCTGTCTCTCCTCCTCTCTCTCTCTCTCTCTCTCTCTCTATCTATCTATCTATCTATCTATATATATATATATATATATCTGCCTTTCCAATAAAAATAAATAAATCTTTTAGAAAACACGTGTTTCAGATGATATGACCTTTAGTTAGTCATTTAACTCTTTTGTAATTATGGTTTTCTTGTCTATAAGCAATGAAGCAAAGGTGAGATAAAAATGCTATATCTGTATCAAAGGCTTGTAAGGAATAAAATGGTAAATGTTAAAAAAACTTGATAAGTACATCTACTTAGCATTAATTATTCATATTAAAAGACAGCTAAGTAAATGGTGCTGTGCAACAGACTCTTTATTTAAAGCTAATTGCCCCCCAAGGGATTTAAATCTATGACCTTGTCTTAATTATCATATATCCAACCAAATAGATTAACAGGCCCAAGAAATATACAGTATTTCCTCTTTGTATGTATTTATAAAGAAAAGTACTGTTTCATTACTTTCAGGGAATTTTTTAGAAAATCTTGGAGAATGCCTATTTTCCTAGCATTGGCAGAAATACTTACTCCAGATTGTAAAATGTAACTAAATTGTACACAAGTCTGTTTCATGTACTATCAAAGTCTCCTCTAATACATAAAGTCAATATGACTTCAAAAATTATGTAAAGCATGTGTAGCCTTAAACCTCACATGTCTCCTCATGTGTATTTGATATTCTATATTATATAAGCATTTGAATTTGGATTGTTTATACTTTAGGGACATGGGCTCACAAGTTCATCAGGAATTCCAGGCCCTCCTCCACCACCTCCATTGCCAGATGCTGCAGTCTCTGGACCACCACCTCCACCGCCGCCACCTCTCCCTGGTGCAATCCCTCCTCCTCCTCCGCCACCTCCTTTAGCTGGTGGTATTCCACCACCACCACCTTTGTTTGGGGCACCTCCTCCACCACCACTCTTTGGAGTAGCTCCTCCTCTACCAGGAGCACAGTTTGATCTGCCTTATGGAATGAAACAGAAAAAAATATATAAGCCAGAAGTACCCATGAAAAGAATCAACTGGTCTAAGGTAATACTCTAATTAGATTTTATTGATTTATCTAGTCATGTTTTATATTGGTGTGTGAATAGCTGCATTGCTTCTATACGTGTTGTATCATATTTGGGTCTGTGACTGCTGACTGTGATCCCCTGGGGATTCACCATCCTGTGGCTTTCATTTCACTATCTAGATAACTAGAAAACCCCAGGTAGTTTGACATTTTGAGGAAGATACAAATTTGACATTTTAAGAAATGCAAAGTAGTGTAGTGAGAAAGATTTGAAATACATCAACAAATGAAAGACAATTCTTACTCTGTATCTTTGTTAATTTTTTTCTGGTCAGGTCTTGTAATTTTTGTTATTTTTGGTTTTAGAGAATGATTTTTTTGTAATATTTTTAACTTTTACGTAGTATGAAATATGTGACAGTATTCAGCAGTGATGTGACCCAATTTTTTATATACATGAAAATATTTATTTTTATTATTACCAAATAAGATCTTTATTATAAAAAGTTATTATAAATATCTTTACTGTCTTCATTCACTAGGAACTATTCTTTTAATTGAAATACTTGTCCCTATACCACCAATTTGGTGAAATGGCTCTTCCAAGAATATATACACTATACTATCAGGCTCTAGGTAGTGAAGTGGGTCACCAAATAGATATTTAATTATTTTTTTAAATGCCAATCATATACTTTTGCTTTACTTATAATATAAGAGTAAATGAGGATTAAATTATGCAAAATGAAGTTGATTTTAATTAGACCCATTCTACCACAATGGTGGATTCAGAAGATATTGGACCACTTATCTATATGTGTAAATGTAATGATATGTTTTCTAATTTGGTAACTGTGTAATGGTGTACATATATGAACCTTTATGATTAATGGAAACTGTACAATCTAGGGGCTGGAGTTGTGGCATAGTGGGCTAAGCTGTGACCTGTAACGGCAGCATTTCATGTGGGCTTTGGTTCGAGTTCCAGATGCTCCAATTCCAGTCCAACTCCCTGCTAATGTGGCTGGGAAAGCATTGGGAGATGGTGTAGGTTCCTGTTCTCCTGGTCCCACTTGGGAGATCTGAAAGTAACTCCTGGCTGCTGGTCTCAGCCTAGCTCAGCCCTGAATATTGCGACCATTCGGGAATACAACATAAAAGATTCTCTCTCTCTCTCTCCCTTTTTCTCTCTCTTTTTCTCTCTCTCATAACCCAGCCTTTCAAATAACTAAAAAGAAATCTTAAGTCAAGTCACAATTCTCATCTAGGCTTTATGTGTAGTGGCTAAGAGCCCAATTCTCTGGAGCTAGAATCCCTGAGCTTAAATCCCAAGGCTACCCTTTACTTATTTGGACAGCCACTTTTTCTAAGACACAATTTCCTTGTCTTTAGCCAGGAGATAATACTAATCTTTGTATGAAAGGAACATTCTGAGGAATAGATAAATTAATATTCACACATCACTTAAAATAATGCCTCTAAGTAGCAGGAGATATGTAACTGTTAACTGCAAATATAGTTGATATTTTTACCTAATTAGAAAACATTAGGGATTTTTTTTATTGGGTGTCATTTTCCCCATTTGCAAAAAATTTCCTGTCAAAACATTGTATGAGAGTTGAAGGAAAATTTTAGTAAGTTATTTTTAAGCCTCCTATCAGTAGAAATTTTAAAATTTGCTGGGCATACTGCAATGGCTCAGTAGCTAAATCCTCACCTTGCAAGTATCGGGATCTCATATGGGCACCAGTTTGCATCCTGGCTGCTCCACTTCCCATCTAGCTCCCTGTTTGTGACCTGGGAAAGAGGTACAGGATGGCCCAAAGCCTTGGGCCACAGTCCCCATGCGTGAGACGAGGAAGAAGCTCCTGTTCACTGTCTTCAGATTGGCTAAGCTCCAGTTACTGCAGCTACTTGGGGAGTGCCCCATCTGATGCTAAATCTTTCTTTATCTCCTTATCTCTGTAAACCTGTGGCTTTCCAATAGAAAATGTGATTTTCTGTGTATCCTGTTGCTATTGTGTATCTTTTGTTCGTACTAATAGAATCATGAGAATTTCAAAATGAATATTTACTTTAGAAGTGTTATTTTGATAGATGGTAAAATTGATTTAGCAGGTAAATGAATAATGGAACTGTCATTCAACTGTGCTAAAAGTTAATTCTTTGGAAAATTAAATGTAAGTAATAATTTAGAAACTAATCTTTGTTATTTTTGCTTCAGATTGAGCCCAAAGAATTATCTGAGAATTGTTTCTGGTTAAAAGTTAAAGAAGACAAGTTTGAGAATCCAGATCTCTTTGCAAAATTGGCACTGAACTTTGCAACCCAGATAAAAGGTACATTTTATTTTTTTTTTAATAAATTCAAGACTCTCATGTATTTATTTTAGTAATTGGCTAACAATATTCAGTAATGTATTTTTGTGTAAATTGCTCACACTAGCAAGGGCAAAGATAAACTTTCTATCATATTTCATCAAATAACTAAGTTTCTTCTTTAAATTTTACTTTGTATACATGGCCATGTGAAATATGAATTATTTTCCTTTTGTGATGTGAATTATATATTATAAAACTCATTTTTACTCAGAAGCAGGGGCTATCAATTTATTGATTTGTGATGTGAGAGAAAATTATGTAACAAAACGTAGGTGGTTCAAACCATTTTGTGAAATTGGATTAAGATTTTTACTCTATTGCTTAACCATCTTTGCCCTTAAATTTTTGTCACTTATTAGTTTGGTGTCCTAGAAGTTTTGCTGTTTTCACTATAAGTAGATATTTTGGTGAATATAAAATATGGTACGTAATAAATGTAGTGTATTGATTTCATAATGAAGTATCTAGCTTATCATTAGGTACTTGTGAATTTCACATGTGACTTTGATACTATACAGGTAACGTCTCAATCTTATGTGTAATAATTTTGTTTTGTGAGTTTTTGCTCTTTTATTTCAATGTGCCATTTTCAGGAATTATTGAAGAAGTGATTCAGGTAAACATAGACATTTTTGTGCCTGAGTGAGTCCTTGCATTTAAAGTATATTCTATACTTTCATACCATTGTAATTGGAGCTTTTACTGTTCATTTGTCTAGTTTGTCACAACAAGTCCTAGATCCTAGAAATTGAGAAAATGTGTTTTGCAAGATTCAGGGAGTGAGAAAGAGAAACAGACAGACAGAGAGAGAGAGAAACAGAGAGATGAAAATTATTCCTTAGAGAGGAGAGAGATGAAAAGCATTCCTTTGCAGCTATTTATCATATCTTGTACTCTGAAAGCACTTGTGTTCTGTTTATTATTTCTTATAAATTGAAGTGCACATGCAGAACAAAATCTGAGTTGGTCATTATAGAATTGTGAATGGCATTTCAAAAAATCTTACTGTTGAAATAAATCTTACTACTTGAAACAAATCTTACTACTTGAAGCAAACAGTGATGTGACCAAGTTCGCTTGTGAGGATTTCTTAATGATTCTGGAAATTACTATTTATTCTACTTTTTAAATGGCATAATTGCTTATAGTGAACTGTTCATGTAGTTACAAAAAGATACACAGTTGAAAATCAATCAATCAGCTTCCCATCTCAGAATCGCAGCTTCTTTCACAGTGAAAAACATTATTAGTAATTTCCCACATTACCTGCTAGTGCTAGTGTGTGTCTGCAGAAGTGTTCATTGGGGGGGGGGTTTGTATTTTTTTTTTGTCATTTGCACTATTTGGAAATTATCCTGTAGGAGCTTGTGTATATCTGGTGGGTTCTTTCTCACATACCTCATATAATTTTTGGTGGAGACATATCTTAATTCATTTAACTAAATTCTGTTATTAATGAATATTTAGTTTAGTCCAAGGCTGCTCTTTCAAGTAGTGTCGTGATAAAACTTATTTATCTGCCTTATATATTTATGTGTATATATGTGGAGTTATTTGTACTGTCAATTCTAGAATTGAAATTTCTTGATAAAAGGTTGTATACATTTAGGATTTTCAGACATTTTAAAATTGCCTTCCAAAGATTTATATCAATTTACAATGTGCCCAAGAATGTGTATGAGCATGGGCTGAATAGTCCTAATCCAGATATCTGACCCTCTTGAACACTAACATGATATCACAAGTAGAAAATATAATACCTCCGTGATCTATCATGTCAGAACAAGGGTACACTAAAAATATTGCATAAAACACCCTTAAATTATGTGTGTAGTTTATATATGTATATATATATGTATAAATGAATTTCATATTTAGACTTTGATCCTACTTGCCCAATATGTTATATATGCAAGTAGTCCAAAATTTGGAAAACTCTAAAATCTAAAACACATCTGTCCCCAAGCATTTCAGACACTTTACCTGTCCCAGAGGTGAAAATGATAATCTAGTGTGGGTGTTTAGCTTGGTAGTTAAGTGCTGCAAAGATGCTCGTGACTGCCAACATAGTGTCTGAGTTCTTCATAGAGTTCCAGCTCCTGATTCCAGCTTGCTCCTCTTGCGGAACTTGACAGGCAGCAGGGCCGATTTAAATATTCCAGTTCCTCCCACATCTGTGGGACCTCTATGGGTTCTCAGTTCCAGGCTTCTACGCAACCACGTCCAGGCCTGCTAGAACAGGAACCAGTGATTGGAAGGTACCCATCCCCATTCTCCTATCACTGTCAACTAAAAGCATGTAAAAGTTGTAAAAGAAAATAAGAATGTTAATGATATTATATACTTTGCTTTTTAAATTAAGATTAGCAGCTTTTATTCTATTTACAATCGATTTTAATTTTCTTTTGCTTTCTATTCTACTTATAATTTTATGATACAATGAGACTATGACTCCCATAGTCTCAGGGAGTTCCCTTATCCCCTCCCCAAACTCACTCCCCCCAACTGATTTCTAACTGCAAATAAACCTAAACTGCATATGACCCAGCTATCCTGCTCCTAGGAATATATCCAAAGGAAATGATTTCTGCCTATGAGAAAGGGATCCACAATCCTATTTACACAGCACAATCTACAATAGCAAAGACATGGAAACAACCCAGATGCTTGTTCAAAGAAAAGTGAATAAAGAGACTGTGATACATCTACTCCATGGAATACTATGCAGCAGTTAAAAAGAATTAAATTCTACCACTTGCATCCAAATGGTCCCAACTATAGACTACCATGCTTAGTGAAAAAAGTCAATCACAAAAGGACAGATGCCATTTGTTTTCTCTGATATAAGGCAACCTTCATACAATTATAAGATCAATAGCCCTTTCAATATTGTTTTTGTTGCAATCCATGGGTTTTATATTTTTGATTTCTTAAAAATACTTTCTTTCCTCTTATTAAATTCTTTACTGACTCGTATATCACACAGTAGCACCATTTTTTCCAAAAAGATTTTTTTTTGTTTTCTTTTTCATTTTATCATTGACACATTGGTTATTCAGTAGCACGCTATTTAACTCCATGATGTTGTAAATTTTTTGATTTTATTCCAATTGTTGATTTTGTTTTATGGCTTTTCGTTTAATGGAATGTATAGTAACTGTGTCATAGAGCCTATCTTATCCAGATATGAAAGTACAATGCAATATGCATCTCTATGTCCAAATCAAAGATGGACTCCCAATGAAACTGTTGGCTATATCTTGACCATAGGTTGCTAGACTATCTGCCATTGTTCATGCCTGCAATGTCAAGATACAGTTAAATAACAGAATGATGGACCTATGACTTCTTATGAAGGACTGTAGTATTGTGATAGTATGCAGGAAATCAATTTTAATTTTTTTTGTGTGAGCTTCCCCTTTCACTTCTTTGCATATTTGCTGCTGAGCAGTTGCTGTTTAAAATAAAAATAATAAATTTGTTTGGGAGGCAGCATAGCTGAGAGTGTGACTGACATACATAATAGGAGTCTTCCATGTGCAGGTTCACTACCCAAATGGCTATAACAGCCAGATCTGCTACATGCTGTAGTCAGCAACAAAGATTCCAATGTAAGTCTTCCACATTGGTGGTAGGGACACAAACACATGGTCCACCTCCTGCTGTTTTCCCAGTTGGGGTGCTAAGGAGTTTATTTGGAAGCATAGTAGCTGGAATGCCAGTGTACTCAGATACTGGATTATGCATCACAGCACCAGACCTGATTAGTTACTCTTCTTTTTTTAAATTTATTTTTATTATTATTATTTTTTTTTACAAAGTTAGATATGCAGAGAGGAGGAGAGATAGAAAGATCTTCCGTCCGATGATTCACTCCCTAAATGAGTGCAACGGCCGGTGCTATGCCGATCCATAGCCAGGATCCAGGAACTTCCTCCAGGTCTCCCACACAGGTGCAGGATCCCAAGACTTTGGGCTGTCTTCCACTGCTCTTCCAGGTCACAAGCAGTGAGCTGAATGGGAAGTGGAACTGCCGGGATTAGAACCAGCGCAGATTGGGATCCTGGCATGTTCAAGGCGAGGACTTTAGCCACTAGGCCACCATACCGCCCCCCCCCTCCTTTTTTTAGTGAATTTTTAAAGAGCATTTTTTAAAGGTTGCAATTAGTGTGAGCATTAGAAGTTATTTCAAGTTATTTTACAAAGCTACGGACAGAGAGGTAAGTATAACTTGAAGTAGAGAATTTCTAAAGGTTGTGTGGCAGAATAGGGACAAATACGAGGGAACGGAGTTTTGCATCCTTTTATTCTGGGTGTGATACTTGACACGTCAGAGAGTAACATTTCTCATTCAAGGGAATAAGTTGATGTTTACTTAGTAAACAGTAGGTATTTAATATTAAATCCCTTTCCCTTTCATTTTGCCTGATGTTGGTGTGTGTGGGTGTGAGCATGTGTGTACATTGTGATTTTGCTTTAGTTATTGACACGTAATATAACTGCTAATTCAGCAAGAGAATTTCCTGCTTTTTTATGCAACACTATAGAGCTAATCAGTTACAATGAAGCAATTCTTGTTGCAGCTGGCAAAAGCTAATCAACCCAAGGGAAAAGCAAACAGAAATCATCTAAAGGTACTCAAGTGCTTACTGATGTTGAATGCTGCGTTTCCTTTCCTTTGTTGCTCTGAGTTTTCTCAGTGATATTGCTTGTACTTCACTAATTTTGAATATTTAAGCGTGAATCATGATACAGGCACCTTTTGGTACCGTTATTTCTTAAGGTTTATTTCTGAAAGAACACCTAATGCATCAATCAGGCCTCATAATAGATGCAATACCTGCATAGACATGCATGGCATACCCAGAATTCAGTATAATGGTCCAAAACTGCCCATTTGTTTAAAATTCAGTAACTGTTTATTGATCTTCCTATTCTAGCTTAAGTCCCTTGTCATTAGGCCCAGTGTCCCAGAACGTTTCAGAGCTTCCCCCTGTTACAACAATAATGGACAATTCTTATCTCTGTTCTCACTTAATGTATTGTAAAGCATTACTACTCTGTGTTTTGAGAAAATACTTATAAATTGAAGGTAATTTAGCTTTGCTAAATAAGACTTTAAAATAATTGAGTCCTTAGATTGAAAATATTTAAATATGTAAACATTTAATATGTACATCATAAAATTATATATTCTGTGTGTCTCACTTTTTCTTAGCAATTTAGAGGCAATTTATTTAAAGATTTTTTTAAATTGGATAGTCAGATTCACAAAGAGAAGGAGAGATTGAAATATTTCCATCTGCTGATTCACTCCCCAAGTGGCCGCAATGGCCAGAGCTGTGGCAATCTAAAGCCAGGGGCCAGGAGCTTTTTCTGAGTCTCCCATGTGCGTCCAGAGTTCTAATGGCTTTGGGCTTTCCTTGACTGCTTTCCCCAGCCACAAGCAGGAACCTGGAAGGGAAGTGGAGCAGCTGGGATATGAACTGACAACCGTAGAGGATCCCGACACATTCAAGGTTAGGACTTCAGCCGCTTTGTTACCATCTAGAGACAATTATTTTAAAAAACATTTATTTATTTGATTAGCAAACAGAGTGAGAGGTAAAGACATCTTTAATATACTGTTTCCCTCCCCAAATGGCTTCTCTTGTTGAGATAGGGCCAAGCTGAGGCCTCAGGAGACAGGAATCCCATTGGGGTCTCCCATATTGGTGCAGGAGCCCTATTACTTAGGCCATGTCCTGCTTTCCCAGATACGTAAGCAGGATGCTTGTTAGGAAGAAAAGCTGGTGGGAACTTGAACCAGCACTCAGATATGGAGTGCTGTCATCACAGTACTTAGCTTGCTTTATCACAATGCATTTATTTTAATGTTGCATTATTTCTGTTTTGTGAGACATTCAGTCTCTCATTTAGTTTAAATTTATATTATAATTACTTTTTTCAATGTACTATTCTAACTGAGAGCGGCAAAGATGAATGTTTACTTATCTGTGTATCAGATAACTTATAGTAGAGCATGAGAGATAAAGAAATGTACAGTGTATTTAGTCAAATGATAGTAAATGCTGGAATACTTTTGTTTTAAGAAAATGATGAAAACACATAATGGAAATTACTTGTGTTGAGGCTGAAGCTAAATAATGAGAACTCCATCTAGATCTCTGACATGGAATATCAGGAACCCAGCTACTTGAGCCATAACCTCTGCCTTTGAGGGTCTACATTGGCAAGAAGTTGGAGTTAGGGCCTGGAGGCCTCGTGTAGAACCCAGGTACAAGGCCAGATGTCCACTACAAATATGAACTGCTGCTTGTCACCTCTAAAGTTTCTTTTAGTTCCCAAATGCTACAGCATTTAGAATCTCCTTATAAGCAGTAATGAAGCATGATACAAAATACATTTGAAAACATTTGAATTAATGAAATATATATTAATGATACACACTACACACACACACATACACACACACACACACGCACACTGTATATATGTGTGTGTAGCAAGAGAGAAAAATACAAGATGGCATCTGGAGAAGATCCTGTTAGTAAACTTGAATATGCATCATAAATATTGCTGTTGGAATTTGTCTATGTATTCTTCCTTTAGTTTATTGGTCAATTTGATATTTGAGTATCCGTAACTGTCAAAGATATAGTAATAGCATTATTTGCCTCAAAAAATCCATAGTAATTGTTGATAAATAATATACTATATAAATTATACTAATTATGGCTAATACTAACTAAATTTGAAATAATAATAAAATATGTAGCTTATAGCTGCTAATTCTAATTAGAATTTCTAGGGTTCTCTAGAGGCTTCAGGAATAACAAAGCTAGAGTGTGGAAATTGTAAGCGATTTCTCTGTTTTTAGTGTTTCTTGGAGGGAATATAAAAACTAAACTTAAGAGGTTAATAAAATCAAGCTTCTTCAATAACATATTTCTGCTGTACAATTTGGTTTTAGTAATAGAAAATTGAGGTATTATAAATATTTAAAATGTATATTAGTGTCATTTTGCATTGGTTAAAAATTGGCCATCATTTCAAAATTATGGTGAATGTGTGCATGCAAACACTTTCCTTTAGGACTGTGTTTAAATTGTAGTTTTTAGTTGTAGTATAAACTTGCTGCTTTTGAAGATAACCATCCATGCTTGGTTACTCGATATAGTCTTCTATATTTAAAAAAGTAATGAAAACACAATTTGTTAAAATATAATTTATCTGTGTCTTCACAAGATAGAAATTCTTGGAATTGACTGAGATGTCAGTTGCAGAGTGTACACCCTTTTTACCATACATGATAATGTGGGCTGAGACAGCCAATATTCTAATAATTTATCACCTGAACTTGTCAACAGCATGCATTCTTCTGTAGTATTAGCTTTAATATATGAAGAATAACAGAGAAGGACCATTTCTGTCACAGAGCACACTAACAGCATTGCTACTGATCTTAGTCTGTTTCAGTTGTAGATGCCAAGACTGAGTAGTTTATAAACAACAGAGATTTCAGCCAGTTCTAGAATCCAGGAAATCAATGATCAGGTCACCAGTCGATTTCGTTTCTTGTTAAGGCTTGCTTTCTGATATATGCAGGTATCTTATCATTGTATCCTCATATGGTAGAAGGAGCTAGCTAATATTTTGGGGGCCTCTTTTATATGCAACAAATCTCATTCATGAGGGCTCCACCTTCATGAACTAATCACTCTCAAAGGCTCTGCCTCCCAAATCAGCTGTTGGAAGATTAGATTTCAACATGTAGATTTTTTTATAGAGATTTAAATATTTAATCCATTGCAATCTTTGCACATAGTTTCATCATTTTTGTTATACCCCAAGTCTTTTTTGTGTACATAGATAAACTTACTACCCTTTTCTTTCACCTCACCAAAGATACTTTTCAGGGTCAGCATTTTAAGTGTTTCAAATTATAATAACATGTACACGTAGATTTATTTCGAACTGGCATTTTGTAGCATCAGAGAATGCCTTGATTTATGTAAAAGAGGAAGACATTTTTAAAATCGTTAAGTATGTACCCTTTTTACACATATAATTCACCATTGTAGGGAGAATTTGAAAGAAAATTTTGTGGCTCTTAACCAAGTAAGCTTTAAAATGACTTCCTTTTTTGATGTGGTATGGTGATTGTGTTACCTGTATTAACACCTTAGACACAATGATTGCTACTACTCCTCTTAATAGCAATTATAATGACAACCTAATTATTAAACATTCAGTATATCCCCCAAACTGCAGTATATATTTTAAATTTATATTTCATTAAAACCCCTTTTAGCACAGAATACTCTTTTTATTGTTTTATAGGTAAATAAGCAGAGACTATGTGAGATTAATCAAGGTTATAGAGCTAATAAATGGGAAAACTGCAGTTTGAACCCAGATTTATGTTTAGTTGTCCTAGTTTGTACCAATGATTTTTCATGACTTTTATGGCTCTAGTAACTATTGTGTTTGCCTGCATAGTTAATCATTTGCTTTTCATACAGTTAATGATAGTCCCACACATCGTTTTCTAAAATGTATAAATCAGTTTACCCTAGCCCTGAAGACAGTTTCTTAGAGGACAAACCAATGCTGTGTAATTGTAGATTTGCCAAACTTTATAAGTTTTTACTTTCTGTGACTAAGGCATTTTCAGACATCTGCATGGAATTTGTGACTTGCAAAGCACTGTTATAACTTTACATCTCCCTTTTTAAAATTGTGAATGAATGAAGTAGGTCTTCAGGTAATTAGATGTTGAGCAATGATGTATTTTACATTTATGTATTTGAAATGCAAAGAGACAGAGAGGGAGGGAGAGGGAGCATGCAATAGACAGAAAGAAAAAGATAAGTTCTATCAGTTGTTTCACTCCCCAGAGAGCCGCAGCAGCCAATTTGAGCCAGATGAAAGTCAGGAGCCAAGAACTCCATTCTGTTTTCCACATGGATGGCAGGGAGCCCTATGCTTGGGCCAACTGCTGCTGAATTTCCAGGCAGGTTAGAGAGCTTGCTCATGAGCCAAATAGTCAGGATTTGAATGGCACTTGGACATGGAGAGCCAGTGTAGTAAGTGGTTGTTTAACTTCATATGCCACAACATGAGCCCCAGAAATGATGTAATGATAAATGTGAGTTGCAGAAAGTAATGAAATGAATTTTGCATGTAAACTCTTTGTTGGTTGCCTTTATAACATTATAGGCAACCTTGTGTTGTTTTAATGTGGCATTTCTTAGCTTTGTGTTGGTAAGACTGCATCTTTTCACTTTAGTGATTTTTGCTGATAAATATATAGAATAAACATTTTAACAGGAGTTCCACTGATAGTATTAAAAAATCACATAGATCCTCATTTATTTTGAAATCATTGTTTTAGGTAGCTTAGAGTTTTATTGACAAGTAGATATTATTTATATTGAAATACAGTAAAAATGTTAACACTGCTAAAGAATACCTCAAAGGGATGTTCTTTGTCATAATTGTAATGTTAATGGCTGCTAAACCAGTTTTAGGCTATATCTTGAAGAATAGATTTCCCCAATTTAACAAATATGCTCAGTTTAGAGAAGTTCAAATCTAGTGACTATTTTGAAGCATTAAATATAATTTCTTTCAACATTTATCCTTGTTAGTGAATAAACCAAACATTTTGATAGTATATTTATTGTTATAATTTATGGTTATAACATTTATGGTTATAAGTTTCCTTTAAGTCGAATCTGTTCTTATCACCATTATTTTTCATCATTATGATATTGGTAAGTCATTAGTCTGAAACAATGTTAATGTCTTGTAATGTAAGTGTGTCAACTAAGTGAACTAAGTATAGTTTTTAGGTGCCCTCCAAATATTATAAGGTAGAAGAATCAAAAAATCCATTATTATAACTTACAAATCTCTTTTCTATTTTATTTCCTACTTCTAAGACTAAAATTACACTTGAAAGCATTGATATTTTGTGTATGACTACCATGTAAAACCGTTTTAACTTTTCTGATTGATGTGGATTTCTAATCATCAAAAGCTGATTATCCCCAAATTTGGCTTAGTAGTAGGACATGCATTTATTTCCAAATAGTTTCAGGAATCTTGGCAGATCTCAACTGTGTCCTTTATTTAATGTTTCCTCACAAGGCTGAAAATGCAGTATCACCAGGGTTGTGGCCTCATCTGATGGCTTGATAGTGGAAAGATTTGCTTATAAATTCACCTGTGAGTCCCATCAATAACCACACTTCCTCCTGTGCTTTTGTACTGATGGCCACCATTCTTTTTGACCATTCTTTACCCTCATTTCCTTACATGTAGGCCTCAGAATAGGGCAGCATACAAATGTCTGTTTACTTCATCAAATAATACAATCGAAGAAAGATTAGAAGATAGTAGCAATAAAAAAGTGACAATGTTTAGAATTCTATGTTCATCATAACAAACAAACAAGCAAACAAACAAAAGAAACAAGTTGAGCCCTCATATACATATGGGATGGGAGATCACTCAAAGACACAGATAGCTAATGGCAGAAACCATTAGGGAATTGTTCAGAAGTTACCTATCACATGGATATGTATAGTTTGTTTCTTACTTATTGCAACTGTTTTTATATGTCTGTATAACTTCAGAATAGTCTTAGTTGGTGTTTCTGCTTTTGATTCTGTTCTGTTGTGACCATGACACAATATGGAACATTTCACTAGCTGTCCATTTTCTTCAGGAGGACATGGAAATTCCTTCTCTTATATGTCAAGGTCATTTAACTTTTTACTTTCCCTAAATTAGAGTGAGCTCCTTTGCTGTTGCATTTGAGATTTACAAGTTTCTACAGCTTTCCTCTGAACTCACTTCCCCCAGTTTTTCTTTTGGCCTCTCCTTATGGTTGTCATTTCCATAAGAATTCACCCATTTCAGTATATTCTCATTTTTACTCACCTGTGTTTCACCTTAGACACTGACTTTTTTGCAATTAAGAAGAATTTCTATTTTGTTTAGTTTTCCTATCATGTACCACATCATCTAATAAATACAGGCATGTGTGATGATTCACAACAGATTTATAGCTGTGTATATTTGTTTTCATGATAACAATATAAATAACATGAACTATGAGTAGTAGCCACATAATAGAAACTGAAATTCTGTTAGTTTCTAGCAATTAATTTAGTCACTCATACTCTCATGCATACACTTACACACACACACATATACAGAGAGACAGAGAGAGTGAAAAATACGTGTACAAGGTAGTTGGTGAAGTTGCCCTATAACCCATGCATTAAGAAGCATCATTCTAGCCATTTTGCAGATTAACAAAATGACCTGGGAAAAAATCAAGCTGATTTCATAGCCTCAATGCTTCACTACTCTGCTAGGCTAAGTAAATGCACAATAACATGAATGTAGGAGATAGCAACACACACTTGGTTCTACAGCTTTTACTATTAAACATTGATTGCTTTGCTATCTTTCTTTATGTTGTATCTGTGCCCAATTAAAGACCTACTAACAGAAAGCTCTGTTGAAGACCTTTTTTCTCCCTCACAGAAAGGCTATTTATGTGAATGCTTGCTCTTTAAAGTAGATTATGCTTGCTTACCCAGTTGTACAGAGCTTAGGTATAGTACTAATGCATTTCTATTAGTTGGATTCAATAAAATGTAAAGCTAGCTGAATGAGTCAGTTTGCCTACAGAATGGTTTGCAGTATGTTGAAACATGCCTCGTGTTATAAAACTAACATAGATTGGGTGGCAGTATGCTGAAGTTGCTAGGCACACTGGCTTAAGTTTCTTATGCTTGTACTGTCTACCTTTGGTTTACGCATGCACAAACGTTAAACTTGTCCAAAGTTCCCCTGCCTTCCAAGCACTGTTTCCTTATGTATGTTGTCATCTGTAGGTACTAACTTAAGGATCATAATTTTTTTAAAATTGATTTTGCAAGAACCTAGGAAAAATACGTAAGGCATTCAAATTGCAAATATAATTATTTTGAAATATCAGTAGTTCTTTCATTAGAATGGTTTATTGGGAGTTGACTGCGTCTGGCTTCATGTGATAAGAACAGACTGATAACATGCTCCTGGCAATGTGTAATGATAATGTGTTGTTGCCTAGCATGTAATTGCTTTTACTAGAAGGCAACAAAAGTGACTACTCTGTGACATGTGATGCTATTAAGATATTTGTAATTTTCTTTCAAGAGAGAGGCTGGCATGATTAGGTACTCTTTCTTACATTAACAGCAATACTAAAGATGCTATCATCACCTTCATCAATTAAACCTACTCTTTGCTCTTGTGGTATCAGATCACATCCTTGGTAATTATTGGTATTTTGATTCTATTTCACATACTTTTGTTTCTTTAGTGCTAATAATTAAAGAATTTAATATGTGATTGCATTATCAAATGCTAAGTTTATGTGTACAATGGATCATAATATGGTCCTAAGGTCTTTGTAATATAGTTCATAAGACATTCAAAGTATTAATAATGGTATGTCACAATCCATTTCATGACATAATTATAAAAATTCAAAAGATTATATGATTTTTTAAGTGTGAGACAGGAGTTTGGAATACAAATTTATTTTTGAGTATTTCATGTGAAGATAAAATTTAGCTAAGGGACTCCTTAAAATTTTTTTTAATCTTTTGCAAAAAGACTTCCAATCAGTCATATTATTTTATAACTATTATTTGAAAGGCAAAGTCATGGTAGGGGTGCACAGAGGAGAGAGATATTTCATTCGTTGGTTCACTCCCCAAATGGCTGCAGTGACCAGAGCTGTGTGAGCTGAAAGTCTGGAGCCAGAATTTTTAGCTGAGTCTCCCAGATAGGTGCCAAACACTTGGACCTTCCTATGCTGCTTTCCCAGCTACATTAGCATGGACTTGGATTGCAAGCAGAGTGGCCAGGACATAAACTGGTGCCTAGATGGAATGCCAGGCATTGTAGACAGTGGCTTAATGCATCATAACGCTGGCCCCATGAGCCATATTTTTGTTTCAGTGGACTTATATCTACCATAGGATATAATTGTAGAATTATATAATTGTAGAATTTTCTTATAAATTATTTTATCTGTTAAAACTGGTGGTCATCCTTGTTTAATGACAGCATTACATACTGTAATTAGTAGGGAACAATGTTATTTTGGTTTTTAGTAGTATTCTTTAAGCTGACATTTTTTCCCCATTTTTGGCTACTACTTCCTATGACCATTGACACTCATTAATGACAAGGAGCTATGGATAAAATTTGTATCCATAGCACAGAACAAAACTAACTGAACTAGTATGTGTTGAATTCATTAGCTTTGTGTTTTGATGTGGTCATCAAATAAATTGAAACAGTTGACTATGTGTAGATACATATAATGATGAAGATAACTAGAGTTACATTCTGTTCCACACAGTCTTGTGGACTTAGTACTGCTTGTTTACTGTAGGGTTCTTAATTTTTGTTTAGTATTGAAGACCACTGAAAGTCTATTTTAAATTTAGTACATTCACAGATGAAAGTATGACAATATATAATTTTTCTCATTATTGAAATCATATTTTAAATTTTGGACCTTCCGAGACAAACCTATAACAATATATAATTGATCATATTTTTTAAGCCAAGATGAGCCAACAGTTCATTTGTTCTTTTCAGGGACATAACTGAGTGTTCTTAAACTGAAGTATATTAAGAGGTGGTGACTTACCCACAGTTTTTAATTTTTTTAGTATTATAATATTATGTTAACATTTTTACTGTTTTACTGATAGTGTATATAATCTCATGCCCTTAGAGACCTTGAAGTTATCAGTTAGTATTATCAATGATTTCAGATTTAATTATGTCTTTGGAAACAACATTATCAATTTTCTTATACACATTATATTTATACTTCAATGTTTTCTGTATTACATCATATTTACTTGAGAGTTATTATTAATAGATTAGCTTAATTAGAATAGGACCTAATTTGAAGCTAAGAAAATCAAAGTTTTATGAATATACTCTTTTATGAATTTTGTAAATGATCATAAATGAGTAATATATTTTAAAATAATTCAGTTATATGAGATATATAGCTGATTTCTGTTATTTCCTGGAGAGGAACAGGTATTTTGAACTTTAGAGGAATGCATTGAAGGCAAAGGCGGTTAAATATTTTTATAACGGGTTTTGCTTTTATTTTGCTTTCTTTATTTACCTTAACCCATTTGTGTTCTTCTAGAGAATAAATATGAAGCAAATCAAATGATAAGGCCGGATCTTTAGGATTTTTTTTGTAGCAGATAAAAAATGGTGGCACTAGGCCTCTGGGAAGTTTTCTGTATAGGCTTGTTCTCTGGCCATAACTTTCTTTTGGGCCATACATTACAGGAAACCCTCTATCTTTTGTTGAATTTTTCCATGGCGATAAGAATTACTATGGGCATGTACCATTTTGAACCTTACTTTTCATGGCTCTCTTTTTATAGAATTTCTTATTACCACATCTCTATTATGTGTCTCTTGTAGAACAAGCGATATTGTTGTTCAGGTTTGTATACCAGAGGATTGATGTGGTTAGAATTGCAATAAATATGTATAATGTGCATTGATTTGTGGAATCTGCTTGGCTAACTTTGGTTTATGGCCACAATCCTGGCTGATTATTGAGGGTAGACCCTGGTCCCTGGGCACTCAGCAACTGCGAACTGGGAATGTATAAATGAACTGGAAAGTTACTATTCCCTATAGCAGAACAGATCATGTGAATGGAAAGGGATGGATTAATAAAGAACTCCTTATGTACCACATTTCTCAGATAGATAGATAGATATAGATATATATCTTAGGATGCATGTATACCATATCAGGGTACTTGAAGTTGAGTCCTGCCTCTACTGCTCATGTAGTCTTCTGATAATGTACACGCTGATATGTGGCAGATTAGGTTTCAAGCACATGAGTCCCTGCCGCCCACATGGTGGAAGGAGATTCTGGCCCCTGGCCTCAGCTTGGCACAGCATGATTATTGAATTATTTTGGAATATGAGGTGATGGGTAGGAAATTTTTTTTTCTCTCTCTGTCACTTTGCATTTCAAATTTTCAAATAACTAAGAAGCTTATGGGAATGGGAATAAAATGGAACATAAATTTCACATAAACTTCCACAATAGGTGTTTTTATTGACTTTTGAGGACCTCTCAGATGTATGAATTTTAGGATTTTCTGATGAATATAATCTTACTTTTCATTCCATTTTATGACCTGTTTGAAGTACTCTATTGTAGCATGGAAACCACTATTCTATTACGTTGGTCTGATAGATGTTCCAGGATGTCTAGAATTTCTTTGTTAGCCAGCATAGGTGTGACAAGAAATAAGATTTTTGGTTAGTGAGAAAATGTATCTGTGGGAATATTTTCAAATTGTTACTTTTTCTTCCTTTGTCTTTCTGAGCAGTGTTATCCATTATTAGTATGTAAGTGTACTTATCCTAGAGTTAAATATTGATGGGAATATTTGGAATTTGGGAAGAACACATAAAATTCTTAAATTGGAATTGATATTTTAACCTCTGTAATTTTATATTTTCAGTGAAAAGTATTTTCATTATTTGCTTTTTTAATATTTTTTTTTTCTGAAAGGCAGATTTACAGATAGAGGGACAGAGATAAAGAGAGCTGTCCTTCATCTGCTGGTTCACTCCCCTTTTAAAAGGCTGCAATGGCCATTACTGACCTGACATGAAGCCAGGAGTCAGTAGCTTCTTCCAGGTCTCCCATGTGAGTATAGGGTCCCAAGACTTCGGTGCATTCTCTACTGCTTTCGCATGCCGTAAGCATACAGAGCAGGATTGGAAATGGTTCAGCCAGAATATGACTGGTTACCATTTGGGATACCAGTGCTGCAGGTGGAGGATTAGGTTGCTAAGCACCATGCTGGCCCCAAAAAGTATTTTATTTTTGAGATAAGATTTCTTTATTTATTTGAAAGGCAGAGACAGGAAAAAAAAAGAGGGAAAGATACAAAGTGATCTTCCCCTTTACTGGTTTGTTTTTCAAATGCCTGCAATAGCTGGGACCTAGACAGACCAAAGGTAAAAGCCTGGTTGTCAGTCAAGGATTTATGCATGGATGGCAGGGACCTAATTACTGAAGTGATCACCTACTGCCTCCCAGGATATATTGTAACAGGAAGTTAGAAATGGGAGCAGCAGAATGGTACTTGATGTCAGGCATTCTGATATGTTATGAAGTTTCCCAAATGGGATCTTAAATACTGGGTCAATTCCTGGCCTTGAGAAAAGTGAAATGTTTGGACCTATTGATGTTCAGGTACTGGGAGGTACATTTTTCTGTATGAATGTTAAGAAATGACGGCCAATATACTGACTGATTTACTGTAGAAATGAGAGAATAGCATAATTCTATCAATTCTTCTAGGCTTCCATTGAGGCTGTCCTCCTTTTCTTATTTTCTCATCCAACAAATATAAATTGAATTTGTATGATGTGGCATATACTACTTGTTTTTACCGAATGCTTATTAGTTGATTAGGCTCCTGACCCAACCGATGAGTATCTAAATTTTTAGTAGTAGAAATATGATTTATTTATATTGTTTTATCATACTGGCTGTTTGTAAGCTGTTTTGCATTAACTGAACCATTGTGTATCGACAGAGGAAGTGTTTTCCTGAAACCTTCTACTAAGTTATTCCTTTTTTTTTTCCCCTGGCCTATTTGCATCTGAGTCCTCTCACTGCTTCTGAAAACTCAGTCGCATCAGAAAGGGCCAGTGAATTTGGGGGTTGACCTAAATTTTGAATTTTGGCAATGGAAGTGGAGAAGAAGCTAGTTTCCAGTAAAAGAAAAAGTAAGATAGTGATAAAGACTGTCAAGCTTCCTGTATTGTACTTTTGATCTTACTTATCTTACTTGGTATTTGATATATATACATTGGTAATTGAATTTTCTTTAAAGAAACTGTATTTTCTCAGAAATGCATTCATTTTCAAGAAGTATGCAATAAACAATGCTTCTAGAAAGTACCTTAATAGTAATGAGTCAGTTCATTCTTTTGCTTATATTCAGATATATAACAAATCTGTGCTGTACCAGATGCTAGCCTAGGCCTAAGAGGATATAGGGTGTAATTAAGGCAGATGGGATCCCACGTTTTATTTTAGAATTTACTCTCCACCAAAAAAATATCATTATAAAAATATACTTAAATTACTGCAAACTTCAGATTATGCTAACTACTCTAAAGAACATAAAAGTTAGTAATATGATGGAGGATTACTTGGGTGAATGATTAAGTGTAATGGTTAAGAAAGTGACTTTGAAATATTTGAGGTTGAGAGTTTATTTTGCTTTTTGTATTTGCTATTGCTATTTATTTCCATGTTACAGTTTTGTAAGTATAAGTTTTCCTACTTCACCTTCTGTTCCTCCCTCCCCATACTCCCCCACCATGACCCTCCCTCTATATTATTGCACTAGTATAGTCCTTCAGCAACAGTCATAGCTCCAGCTTTCTTCAATCTAAGTGTATCATGACTTTGTAGCTATAGGAAATGTTAGAAAGTCTAGTACTCTATTCATAGGGTAAATTTGCTTCATCTGGAGTCAGTTCATTTTGAGTGGAGATACATACTCCAAAGTATCTTCACTTCTAGATATGCTAGTCCCCATTATACAGTTCAGCTATGAGAATATTGGTATAGATGTTTACCTGTATAGCTATTTTTAAATTTTGAATGAAGGGTGGCTTATATCGGAGATAACATATGACATTTGTCCTTTAGGGATTAAATGTTTTTCAGTGAACATAATGATCTTCAGTTGGGACCCTTCCTGTATTTTGTTTCCCCTTTCTTTCTCGCTGTTGGGAAGGTCTCAGTTGTTATTTCATTGAATATATCTTTCAATCAAGCTTCTTTTTCTCTGAATTCAGGAACTCCCATAATCATTATGATAGCACTTATTTCCCCTACCTTTTTCTTAACTTTTTCAGTTCTTACAGCTTTCTATTTCAGTATTTCACATGTCTTCCAGTTCTGAATTTCTTTCTTCTGCCTAACTCCTATTATTATTGAGGGTGTCTGTTGAATTTTCACTCTTTTGCATTCTTCATTTCTAATAATTCAGTTTTATTTTGTTTTAATGTTGGTGTGTCTTGTATAACATATTAAATTCCTTGAACTCCTGTATGTGCTACTTCTTGTCTTTAAGGTGGTCTATGATTATTTTTTAAAAATCAGTATCTTTCTCAGTTAACTCTGAGGTTGAAATAGTCTTTTGTGCCTTTATGGGCAAGGCATCTGTAACCTCATTCATTGAGTTTTTGTCTCTTCTTTAGTCCTTGGACATTGCAACTCAGATTAGCAAATTCTTCTCTTGGGTCTGAGTATTAAGCTGTGTTAGCCACAGATTTCCAGGTTGAATATGCTGATCCTGTTCAATGCCAGGTTTCTGTGTCATTGTGCCACTGCCTCAGTGAGTTTTAGTCCTGGGCTCCTGTGCTACTCTTTCCAGCCAGAGATGCTAGGTCACCAGTCTCTGCCCCTTGTCAGCCCATGTTGTGTCCTCACTGTTATCTCCTCAGCCTTTCTGCTGTTCACAGTTCCAACAATACCTGAGATTAGAGAGACACTAGTTGTGACTTTAAACTAGATCACAGAATTTTCAACGGCACCCAAACAGTTTTTTTTTTCCCTCTTCTTGGTGAAAGCTGCTGGCAGTTAAGTCTGGGGACAACTCACACTTATCTTGGATGGAACCCATGGGATGCCAAGTCAGTATTATTTTCCCTGTGGGAGCAGTACAATGTGTTGAGAAGCAAGTAAATTATACTCTGGCTTAGAGCATACACAGCTGGCTATGGTCCTCCCCACCCAGGGGTTTTGCCCTAGACTGAAAACAATGCCTGTTGTGACTCTGGTAGGAGTGTGAGCTGTGAAATCCTCCCTATTTCCACAGCTGTCTTATATAGCTGTGCCACTATGCATTGGCTCATGGTAGGTTTAATAAAAAATCAGCAGGGTCTGCTTGAGTCACCTGCTGTGTTCTCAAAGATCACCTCTTCCTGGAACTTGACCACTGGTAGAGCTTTGATCACTGCTGGGATATCTGTTTCCTACAGCATGAGTCCTCTGTCTGCTGCTTCCAATACCATGGGTTTCCAGGTGTCTGTCTACTGTTGCCCTTCTATTCCTATTTCCCAGGATTGCTCCCTCTGCTTTTCCCCAACTAATCCTTCTGTGTCTAATATGTCTTCACCCAATCACACTATC